CGTGGAAGTCGCTTTTTGTCTGCATGGTAGGATTGGGGAAACTCCTTTCTTTTTAGGTCGGAACAACCAACTTGAGGAATCCCTTGAATCCCCATCTATATCTCCAGGTTTACCACCCGAAGATTTCACCGACGCTCAGGGTGCTGAATCGGACGCCAGCCACGGAGAATAGGATAAGGACGATATCCACGACGCCGAGCAGAGCAGCACCCATCATGAAACGGGGGCAGAAAATACGGTAGAGCATGAGATGGCGACGGAGATGGCCGGCCCACATGGTGGTAGCCAGGTTAATAGTGGCGAAGTAAAGGAGATAGGTGCAGGCCGCTTGAATGACGTTGGATAGGATCTTGATGGCGGGGTTTGAGGATTTCGAGGGGGATCCGGACTGGTCTGTGAGTTGGAGAGGGCGCTTCCAAAGCACGGTGAGAGGGACGGCGACGGCGGTGAGAATCTGCGCGCCAAAGGTGTTCAGGACCACAAGAATGGGGGACCAGGGGTATTTGATGGTTGAAAGGGGGATGAAGGCCGTTTCCCATTGAATGCTGCTGAGGACGGCTTGGTGGCCGGTCTTGAAGTAGTAGAAGGACCCGAGAAGCGCGAGGACGATGGGTCCGATGGCGGAGTTGCCCATGACCAGTGCGTTCGTGTCGAGGATTTCGAGGAGAGAGAGGATCTGCCAGAGTAACAGGCCGATGGCACCTTGTCCCATGGGCTTCTGCATGAGGGCAATGCCCAAGCAGAAGTTAACAACGAGAAGAAAGAATCGCGTTCCGTAAACGTTGCCAAAGCCCAGGATCGTGACGGTGGTCCTAGGGGGTTCCTGGGCAGACGCAGGGGCGGCCTGCTTGTCAGCATCAGAGTTGCCTTTGCTGACGCTGATGCTGATGCACGGCTTCGAGTAGATGAATGCAGTCGTTCCGGCTGCGAATGCAATCGCCAGAACAAGTTGTGCTAGGAATACTCTAATCGACTTCAGGGTCTCCTTGCTCAATGAGAGCCACTCGCCGTCATCTGCGCCCTCGAACAACCAGAAAACTGAGGCGATAAATAGGCCCAACCGGAAACCAAACCCAATCCACAAAGACGCCGCACCTTCATAAGATTTCGATGCAACGTAAAAGGATCTGACAACTGTGGGGAGCACCAGTGTCACTATGAATGGGATAGCAAGTTGCCATGGCGCAGATGTGGAGGAGGTAGACGAAGCGTAATACGTGGAGCGACAGAAAGGCATCTGTTCTTCACGACAGAGGCGAGATAGCGAGGCTATTCTTCCCAGGGCAACAAAGAGGATGGAATGGTAAACGCCCAGGACTCTGTCGGTGGTTGATTTTTGCCGCATAGACGACACACCAGCAAGCACACCAAAAGTGGTGAGGAAAAACAGAAGAATCTCATCTTCCCAGATGGTGTATGAATTGGACGCAAACCCGACTGACTGGCTGACCGTGAAAATGACGGCGAGCCATCCCCACAGAGAGTTCGGCAGAGGAAGCACCAGACGCTCCGGTTTAATGAACATTGACCACGAAGCAGTGACAATGCTTCCTGCGGCAGCGAACAAGGCCGACGCCTCAGCTAGCGGCATTTCCATGACGCCCGAGACGGCCAGACATGCGCCAATAACAGCGCCAACTGCAGAGCCAACTCCAGCAGATGAGAGCAAAGAAGTGGTGAGCTCAGTCCGGTCCACCCTCAAGCCTCGCGCATAGAGCACAAGCAGAACTACTGCGGCAACAAGAATAACAACACCCTGGATCATACTTGGCACATCAAACTTGGCCCAAAGATCGCGGCAGATATCGAGTGTGCTTCGCTGGTACCGCCTGAAAGAGTCATAGACAGGACGCATTGTATCCGCATTCGACTTGCCAAATCTCGGCAGATTCTTCCACTCGGCTTCCGCAGCTTCCCAGAGTTTCAGCGAAAGAAATTCTTCACCATCATTGGCGCTGCGAGATTGCGCATACTCATGCTGATACCTTTTGATCTGGGCGGAAGCCAAGCGGTTGACGCTCACCAGATTCTTCCAGTCAGTTCCGCCAGGACCAGCGAAGGCCTCTTCAATCGGGGAACCCAAGTTGTTAAAGGGGATCGGTATACCAAGGAGAAGCGAGAGGGTTGGGACGAGATCGATCTGCGGGACAAAACGCTCTCGAGCATATCTAGGCGGCAAGGCAGTGTCCGGGCTCGTGCGACCAAATTTCTTTTGCTTCGAATACATCCATAGAGCCGCATCTACCTCGTCATTCGATTCACCTCCGTGATCTCCTTTCGAGTCCATTCCATGATCGCCCATCACTACCAAAACCGTGCTGTCGTCAATTTTAGCAATGAGATCCCGAATGACTTGATCCATCTGCCTGAGTTTGGCGGCCATCGCCGGATGGTTGGGGCCGTAACGGTGGCCGGCATGGTCGACGCCCAAGTAGTGACCAAAGACAACGTCCCACTTGGTAGAATTTGCCGGGTGCAAGAGAGGGAACAGATGCTCATTTACGCCATTGTCAACCGTGTGTAGATCCCACACATTGAACGAGTCAAACGGCTTGGTAAGGTTGGCGTCAAAATATCCAGGGAAAAGAGAGTGCCAGGTGTCATCGCCGAGCTGGACCAGGTTCTTTCCGGCGGCGCGAAGCTGCGCAACAATGTTGTCTTCATCAATTGCCGTCCCATCGAAATTTGAGCCGGCATCCACAAAAGTCGGTAGGGTCCCGGTTGTCAAGCCCTTGAGACGCTGCAGCGTTGTAGTCGGCGGATCGGCAATGAAGGGTAGCAGGAAAGCGTTCTCCGGAGAGTTGACGGCCGTTTCATGCAAAACAGGGATATTGTCGTGGAACAGATTTGCCTCTTCACTCTCGGGAGTCGGCGCGAATGGGACCGTAAAGTCGTAGCGCAAAGCATCGATGATGATGACAATAGCCTTGTCGAAAGATTTCGGGTGCCAGCATCCATCACCTCCCCTGCCCGCCTTTGCATTTGGTAGCGCATCGTCAAACGGAAGCAAGTCGCAAGACGACTTATTTTCGAGAACCATTCGTGTCAGGAGGAAACCTTTGGTGAAGAAATAGATCCCGGCAACGTGTAGGAGCCTACATTGTACCCGGCCCGTCAGCATGGCTTTCTGTCAAGCTAAAATGAGTTGCAGCATCTGCAGTGGTAGCTCACAGGATCCATCCTAGCACACCCAGCAGACCGAAGTGTTTGAGTTTAAACTCCGTTTCCAAAAGGCTGTTTCGCGCCTCCTGCAGATTGTTTCCCTTCCCCCCTGACAGCGCCTTCGGTACGGGTCCTTTTCGAGTGTCATTGCGCCCCGAGGCTTGTGGCGACGAGGTTCGAGGAGAGGCATTGGGGTTGGGACTTCCCTGCCCCGGGCTTGTTGCCGAAACCATCATGGAGGGGAGGATATATTCCTAAGTTGTCAAAGAGCTGTTCATCTAATGAGAGACTGGGAAATTGTTGGTTTCCGTGGTATACCAAAGAGCCCCTCGTAATGGAGGAGCAATTGTATTAAAAGAAAATAGAAAAGGAATAGGGGACAAGAGGTGGGCGAAATTAGTCGCTTCCTCCGGAAGAAGAAAAAAAAAAGAGATTAAGAAAAAAACACCTAGTCCAAAGACCTTGATGACCTGCGGATTCACTTGGATTCACAGGGCAGACATTGTCCCAGCGGGAAACCCAATTGCGCACATGAAGAGGAGGCGAGTTCCAGGATTAATCGCAAGTTGTCGAAGAAGAAGTGGGAGAGCTGTGGGCGCGAACAAAAAAGCATCGATGGGAAAGCCCCGTGACGTCGGGGATTCGGCGCTTTCGGCAGGCAATGGGCCTATTCCAGGCTGGTGATTGGCGGGCGCGGCACGGAACATCCAGAGCCCTGCGGGAGTGGGGCTCGTCTGAAAAGGGACAACTGTTTACCTCGCCTACTTGGGACTATACAATTTAGCACATAATGATAATTTAAGTGCCATCACAGTGTCGAGGTTCAAATTGGGGATGATTAGACACCCCAGATAGATACTCTCTGGTTAGTCTGTGATCCAGACCGCTTGACGGCAACAGGGTTGGGTGAACAAAGAACGGCTGCATTCAAGCGGGATGTAACGTTCAGTTGTGACTCCTGAAAGGTCTTGAATGTCAGTGTGATGTTTACGGTAGTCTACACTTCTCGCCCCACAAATGAGCCAGCAGATCCTTTACTGCATATAATCCAAGCTCTAAAGTAGGAAATAACGTCATAAACTTTCATTGATGATGTACGAATAAACGAGTTCATTGAGGCACTCTGGAAAGTAGCCGTGCAATGTCAAGTCAGACTAGTTACATACATTATCCAGCTGTAAGGTACTCTAAAGGCAAACCCGAGAATTGTAAGGGTGAAGGTGAGAAAGAATCAACGAAAATAGCAGACAAAGAAATAATACAACAAGAAAAGAAAAAAGGGGTTAGTAGAAGGAAGAAAGAAGAAACGGTCGATACAACAGATCGGGGACATAACGCTCTTTAACCCTAGGGACGTGACAGGGAAGAAAGAGCCAGGGTGACCAAGCACAAGAAACGAACGCTATAGAAAGGAAAGGGGCAAACAGGAACCAAAGGGGAAAAAGAGAATAGAAATAGAGAGACTTTAGAAGACCTCCCTAGATTAACCAGCAGCCCTTTGCTATACACAATTCAGCTGTAGGATGCCTTTAGTTCGATCTTCGGGTGGGTTGCAGGAAGAGAAATGACCATAAAATCCAGCGGTATCAGCAACCCCGGGCGTGAATAACCCAGGGTGACTCGACAGGACGGATAATTGCATATGTGCAAGTCGCGAAAAGAAGACAAAATCAAAAACTCAAATATAATACTGGGATTTGAAGTAAAGCTTCGCCAGAGTATCGTCATGTTTTTGTGGTCGTCGGAAAACAAGGTTGAGGAGCGATCGGATGATAGAGGGGTATCAATGGACGAAGGATCAGGCCGCCAACGGTTGTTGGATTGGGACAGATGGCATTTCAAGTCCATCTAGGCGCATCCCCCTTCTCTTTAAGACCCCCCATGCGCTCGATATCCAGAGACTGGAAGCGCTCAGCATCGCTGGACTGATACGGTGGAAGGTCCTCATGGCAAGGTTCCAAACCGACACCCCCAGCTTCGCTAATTCTGACAACCACAACACGTCCCGACTTGCGTTTTCCGGACTCATCTTCCTCCTCGGGGAAAGTAATTCGGATTTCGGGAACGGGACTCGGCGGGGGGCTCGATGAATTCTCAATGAGGCTGCGCTTCTCGTCGTAGACCAAGACGGACTCAGTCTTGGCATATGGCGGTGCGGAGATCGTCAGGCGGCGGTGTTGAGGTACACATTGTCCGTTGTGTACGGGAAGTTCGGATTGTTCCTTGTTGATGCGCTTGCGACGCAGAACAAGAAGGGCACCAACGAGAGCCAAGCCGAGTAGAACGAGAACCAAGAGCGCAATCAAAAGGTCGACCATAGCAGAAGACAGGCCTTCGTCGCTGTCGTCGCGAGCGACCAGTCGTTTAGAAAACAAATTCGACATGTTTGGCAGGCGAGTTCACTTTCTTTCAAAAGAGGGTTGTACTTGGAAGTGTATACGATAAGTGTCTATTGACAAGGGCGAAAATATGAAGTCAAGAATTGAAGTGGTTACTGCAGAGCGTTAAAGACCGATATACCCTTGAGCTGGAACGTAATCACTACTTACACCAAAGTTCCAGCGGGGGGAGTCTTCGAAGGCGTCAAAAATATCAAGGAGTAATAGTGCAATAGACCACGAATGGATAATTTGGTTGCTATTGGTATGTTCGAAGAATAGAGAACGTATCAGGTCGGACAAGAGACAGTCAGTCGGACGAAATGGGTCAGGAGAATCTCGAGTGAATCGACCAGGCTAGGACGGGAAAGAACGGACAGCAAGGTGAACAGCTGAAAGAGTGAAGCCGACACCTGCTTGAGATAGAAAGAACGTGGCGAGGAGAGAGGAGGGCGCAAGAATGAGAGAGGGGTTGGAATGGCCGTCCGGGGAATGAGGAAGGAAAGGAAGAAAAGAAGGAAAAGAGAGTGAGATGGAAGGAAGGGAGGGAATAGCGTGCAGGGCCCCAGGGCCAGAGGCAGAGAAAGAGGAGACGGCCAGCCCACGGGTCGACCAACCGGCACGACAGGAACGAGGCGCAAGGGCGCTTACTACTGAGGGCCTCAGGGCCAGAACCTCGAGCGAACCCCCCAGCAAGGGTGCATTTTCCAGTCGCTGGCCAACTAGCAGGCTGCATCGAGGGCGCTAAGCAGGCACTAGCTGCAGTGAGAATCCACCGCACGCCGCGTTGTTTGTTGATTTCCTCCTGCAGTGGACCTTGGCAGTTCGCCCGGTGCTGGCGCCACTGAAGTCTAAGTTGGCCCAGGACGGTTAGCCCGGCCTGGCAACGGCACACAGGCCTATCAGGGGGCGGCGGTGCCTGAGAAGGGCCGTTCGTCCGCCCCATCATCCCTCCGCCTATTCGCTGTCATCCCTGTCGCCAGCCTGTTAGCTTAATCCCCTTTTGTCCATCACCATGTCAATCGTGGCTCCACCCTTCGGCCTTTTTGGTTTTTGGGGCTTTTCTTTTTTTGGCACTTTCGGCCCCTGAATGTGCGAAAGTGGGAAGATTCTGAGATGTCATGGTCTCATGTTCTTCCTTAAAAGCCGTTGGAGCCTTGGAGGACTCGTTGAGGGCTCGGTAGTCGCTTCGTGAATGGATGTAGATTACAGGCTGTTGAATATCAAAGAACGCAATGTGTCCGTACATGAACGACAAAGAACGGCTCGATTGTCCCTGTTTGGTCCCTTTTCGGTAAAAACCTGCATCGATCTCCCTCCCACTTCGATGACCTCACGGTGGGGTTGCAGGCCTGATATCCGGCAAAGATCAGATTCAATAAACGACTCGCGGATTAAACTGGTGATATTCCATATCTATCGGTCTTCGAAGATTCCTGCTGGAGGATCTTGGTCGAGTTGGCTTGATCGTATATATCCGATTCCGAGACAGGACCGCTATGCATACTGCCGGAATATTTGCAATTGCATCCGCTGCTAATAAGACTACTAACTTTAGTTCATATATATCATAATCTTATCACCTGTAGCTAAGTGACAGTCTACAGGGAATATTTCAGAACGTTATTGAATTTGGGCTATTCGGGATTCAAATGTTCATGTGACTGAAAAATTAGACACCTTGTTCTTGGTTCTTGTCAGAGGGGCTGCAGCACTTTGCAGCCTGGTCTTCATGTGAAGATTACATTTCACACCAGAAAAACGGAACCGTCTCATCTTCAGTTGACTGCGTCGTGTTTCAGGATCTTCAGTCCCGGTCAGTTTGATAATTAGGAGCTTGTTTGGTGTTTCTTATGTAAGTCTGCTCCCTTGGCCGTTGCGGTTATATATATGAGTGCACTCTGTCAAGCAATAGATGAAGTAATGAAAAGTTAACTATTACATAGAATAAAGCAATCAGAATTACTACATACCATTTTTCAAAGCATTTGAAAATATTTTATATTTTAGATTGCTCTTTCATCTTTTGTCTTGCTGTCACATGGAAATTCTACCGCAAGCCAACGGGACCCTATCATGAAAACTTCAACACCTTTACTCTTGTGGGCGGGGGGGAGGGGGAATGAATCATATTCAATGGTCAAACTTTGTAGTCAAAATGATCAAGCTTTTTGAATTAGTCAAGCTTTTTTGTTCCTCGTTCATTATGACACTTACTTGAATTCGGCGCACGGCTAGAATCTAGAATCCATGGCATGGTCGAAAGGCAGTTCGAGTCACCTGGAAGAGGTAACTTGTTTAAAGCGTAAAATCTGTCTGGTCAGGCGGAAGCATCACAATGAGCGGGGTTCTAGCCCAAGTCTTTGGTATATGACGTACAAACTTCGCGGATGCAGATGTCCGCCGGCTGCGAATACTGCCCGTAGATCAACCCCGTGGAGAGTTGTCGACCAGACATTTCCGTGGTTGTCGTCTATGGTACGTACAAGTCTGGATGTTCTATTATGAATGTTGGGGTTATACCCCACTCCACCGTCAGTTTCAACAACTTATAGATGGTAGGCAATAATGTGGTAAGTTACTACTGGGCTCGACCGGAAGTGTTGCCTGGACCGAAGAATCAACCTTTGAGTTCCCTCCTCTTTCGGTTCATCTTTTTTCTGAATATATTGTGTTTTTTTATTATTATTTGTTATGTGTAACGTTGGGTATCCTTAATTTCAGGTCGGATGTGAAAGTAGAACCTGCATGGGAGTTCTTTCTCTCTGCCTCTGTGGAGCGAACAACACAACAATAATAACAACAACAGATAAGAAAGACCCGTGATGTATGCGGTACTCAAACTACCACGAGCCGAAGTATTGGTCCCCGTTGTACCTGGTGAATTTCCCACCTTTTTGCATCTAAATGCCATTGTTGGTCGTTGCGAAGCAGTGGGCGGCATAGTCTCAAGACCCTTACCTGCCGGTGGAATACCTCCCAACCAATTACACCAGATCTATGATGTAGGATTGGTATGTCAACAGCTGATTCCTCGACACGACTAATTCCCACCGGCAGATTTTCGATACAGGCATGGATCTCCCCGTGCGGGGGTCTCCAGTAGGTCCATTACATGTAGGGAGGCCAGAACCCGCGGAGGTGGAAACATTATCCGCACACTTTGGGGAATGACCATATGTGGCGTGGATGATGTGGTATGCACGACTGACCTACAATTTGCATCGGAAGAACAATACCCCAGATGGGTTCAACTGGAGGTGGAGGACCACGGGGGATTCAAGTCCCCAGCTGGCCGAGAGGGCAAGGCGGATGAAACCTTAATCCACCGTAGTTCGTCGACAAGTAAGGAGCCAGCCTGGGGAGAAACCATAGGGAAGAAGTACAAGCACCTGGAACGGGGAACATGACAGAAATGTCGAAGAGAGAATCAATCGGATCTGCGTGGGATTGCCATGGGTCCATGGATGGGGTATGTTACTGGAGAGGCAGCCAAAAGAAACAAGTGGCAGGACTTTGCTTTTTTTCTGTTTTTCCATTTCCCCCCATCTTCCCTGTACCTTTTTTGTTTGCTAGTTTGTTAGGTAGTTTGCTAGCTTGTCAGAAATTTCAGCGACTGCTTCTGGCAATCCAGAAAACATGTCATCGGTTCGGTCTGATCTTTAATATGTCGCCATGCTATCCTCTTCTAAGCGGAATTAGCCGCAACAACTTGGTAGTAAATAATTAATTTCCATGAAGAAAATCAGGCGAGCTAGTTTAGTGGATCCGATCGGTCGGGCTGGAGCGTAACTTAACTTTCTGCGAACTCGACCGTTCAAACCAAGTATTGTTCACTCCAGGCTGTCATGTAAGCTCAGAAGATCATACGATGCAATGATCTGGAACGTCACCGAGAGCGTGCGGAAAAGAAAGCCCGTATTCGATCTCGACCGGAATCGAATCCGAGTATAAGAGGTCGAGAGGATCTGCTGGTTAGGAAATCAAGTCCGAGCCGCCAGGTACCTCAATACTACGGTGTAGGTTCGTCCTTAGAACACTGGGATTCCCTCGAATTGTCTTCCATGATAGCAAATGACGTAAAAAGAAATGCTGCGACATTGATCCAATCCAAGGATTTTCGATTCTTGTTGGTATTGCCTGTGGATAACCAAGCTTCCTTCTCGGACTTGGCTCGTGAGACTAGAGAAATAAAGTAAAAAGAAAATAAGATAATTGTTGGGAGTCATTGAGAGGCGGGGAGAGCGAGAACGCAATAGACCAGGGTCTATGCGTGAACCTAGACCTACACAAGTAGCAGCAGTCCCATGGCTACGGCGTTGTAAGTTGAGGCCGGGGAAGCAGACCGAGTTGCAGAGTTGGCGTTGCAGAGTTGCGAGACGAGGTGATCAGAGGGGCCGCCTAAGTTGAAGCCTAAAAAGAAGCGGCGGGCGCCAGAGAGATTTGGCGGGTCCCAAGTTTACCATACGTACGGTATGCAATGTCCCCCGAGGCTGGGCGGTACCTGCCCTATGGGTGCAGCACTCATACTGCGTCCAAGTACCTGAGAGTCCTGAGGCGACAAGATCGACACATCCATGGATGCGGCCGATCACTGCGGTATTGTCACCGAGCCGTAATGGCGCTTGGTTTTGCTTTTCTTTTCTTTTCTTTTTTTTTTTTTTTTAGGTTGGCGGTCCTTCTTGCTGCGACACGCAGCATCTTTTTTCCAGCTCAACCTTCCCAGCTTATCTCTATCATCGACGTCCTCATTCCGTTGCAAAGACCTCATATTTCTTTTCCCCCTCCCTTTCGCTTTCAACGTTTTCTTTTCTTTTTAAACTTCTCTTTTTCTTGTGTCATTTTTCTTTTTTTATTTCGTTCCCTCCCCTTCCTTACTTTTTCCCCATATTTATTCCCCCCCATCCTCCCTCTCGAGGTCTTGTCGAGCACTTCCCATTCTGTGCAACCCGCTCCCTCTCTGTTCAATTTTTTTTTCCCCATTAAACAAAATCTCCCTTCTCTTCTTCGGTCAATCCTCACCCATCTAGGGTTGACTGACTATTTGATACCGCTGTGTGATATCTATTACTAGATATTTATTACTGGCCTTCCCCGTCCCTGATCTTTTTTTTTTCCTTCTTCCCTTGGCCTTTCTTCCTCCCGACTCTTCATCTTACCCGATAACCCTCTTCCTCCCCACCGTGGAGGCTGGACAAGATTCGCGATTTAAGATTGATCTACCCCGAGCCACTCTGGGGTGTCACAGCTGGATTTCGTTAATGCCGTGCTTTGTTTCTCTTCCGCATTCCCATCCTTCGATGCTCCACTAATCACGTCGGATCGCCTTCTCCATTTGCGCAACAAGCACATTCCTGTCGATACCAGCTGCAAATTTCACGACCCTTTCAACCACCCCCCTCCCCCTTGCTGCGTCCTATCATCCAAGCTCGCTCAACGCTCGTCTGATTCATCGGCTTCGTCCCCCCTGCCCACTTCCGCCTCGACTTCTCCACACGGCACATGAGGGTGATCTGCGAGATTCGAGCTTCCTGGAGCATGCACGGAGTGTAGTAACGTCGCGACGCACATTGACAATTACCATCCACGGCTACCTACTGAGCATTTTTACGCTGGCAAAAGAAAGGGAGATCATCCATTTCTTGTCACCTTGCATCTGCTCCCACTTGCCCTACTTCGCTGTTCAGCATTTTTCGTTTTTTTTCGCTGTCCACCTTCCTCCCTTTCGCCAACCCCTTCGATCCCTTGTACAGTTTGTACAGTGCCTGACCGCATTACAACGTACACAGCGACAAAAATAAAGGGAACCGACAACATAATTCTTTTCCCCCGCCCGAACCTCCATCCCTTTTTGACTTGGAATTTTCTTGTGTGTCTTCCGCACAGGTTCCTTGGTGAGTACCCAATTTTTCTACTCGCACATTTGGCGACGGTTCAGAAACTTGCTAATCATTTCCCTGGTTATTGTGCAGTTGACTCTCTTTCGTCTACCTCGTGCCTCCTTCGGCGCCATCTTATCCTACCCTCTCGAATCCGTTAAAAGTAAACTCGAGATCCGAGCACAAAGACTGTCGATCGTATTCCATAAAATTGTCAATCCTTGGACGATTGCAAAGGTCCTACCGATCTGGTCTGAGGATCCAATTACCTATTGTTACCGCCCGTCCAAGCGACTGGTGGAATGACCGTGATGGCACAGAATACAAGACCAGTACATAATGTGAGCTTTGGCAATCCTGAATGAATCGGGTTTTTACCTTACTGACGGATTTCCATCAGGTGCGATCGAACCGAACATCCAACATGAGCAATGATAGAACGCGAGCGACCGCCGCAAACATGGGCCAAGGCTTCGGTAGTCAGTCGAGTTGGAATAATATCTGGGGAGATAATTTGGGAGGTAAGAATCGATATCATCCTCGCTGGATAATCAGGGACTAATGTGTTTGGCGCAGACCAACATGTCGCAGACGGTGGATTAGACGCTAAAGCAGGTTCGAGCTCTCTATTGTCTTCCTCGGAGTCCGATGTGTGGAATGGTCGCCCCAATCTTCCCTGGAGCACCATGAAACCGGCGTCGGCTGGCTTATCCAGAACGGCAAACACTGCCATGACCACTTCCCCCATCCAAACCCGATCTTCTGATCGAAGCGCAGCTGCTCTCCCAGAGACGGCCGATGCGTCTTACTTCTCTCTGCAGAGGTCATCTGGAGGAGCACCGAGCCACAAGGTTTATCTGAACACCGGATCGGAGGGAATATCCCCATCTGGGGACGGGATGTCTCTTGGAACCATCGGTGGCTTCAGACCTGAAGGTAGACGTCACGCCAACACATCCTCCGCTTTCGGAGGTAGTCCCGTCGGCAGCGGGTTTCCGATGCGAAATGGCCTGTCTAGTCCGCTTGACAACACAGCATCCGACGGCATGTCGGCCTCCATGACGATGTCCTCTCTTCCTCAGACGCTGCCTGATACCGCTGCTCAGTCATTGGGGCGCAATGTATATGCACACGCCTCTTCCAACTCTGCTTCATTTGCTCCCGCTAGACCACCTCACTCATCGTTTCCCTCGTTCCACTCGGAGAGCCAAGGGTTCGAAGGGCGGTACGGTAGTCACTCCGTCGATCTTAACGCCGGGCTCAACAATCTGCAACTGAATGATAACAATTTGGGGGCTCCCAGTGCTGGAAACCGGCCCGCTTATATGTCTCATCCCTCCTTGGACGGCTCTCTTCAGCGACTCAGGTATGCGACTTCGACTGACGAGAGCAACTACCCGGCTTATGTAAATGAAGCCCCGTCGGACCTGTCATTGGCGTACTCAACGACGCGTACCCGATTCGGCGACGGACCGATCTCGCCTACCGATTACGCCCGTATGGAAAGCCCCTTCCACCCGACTTTGGACAATGGACAACTCTCTGGCCCGCATTATCGAAATGCCTCCGGGAGCCGCCTCTCCGACCACCAAACCGCGACATACGACCGACGCTTGCGGGGAATGGCCGCGGAACAGGATCTTGCTGCGGCAAATGTCAATCCCCTGCAACGGATGGCTTTTCACGGCGCGTATGACGTTCAACGCTATCAAAATCCAGGACTTCAGGGAATGCCTGCACTTTACGCCCCAGCAGCTCATGTAAATGCGGCGGCTCTTGCTTCTAGGGGCCTCCAATCAGACACTGCTCAGGCGAACAGGAGTTCGGTGCTGGAAGATTTCCGCAATAATAGCAAGGGGAACAAGCGCTACGAGCTGAAGGTAAATTTCCGCAAAACCCCGCTGAAAGTAACTTCTAGATGTCTGACGAACTGCCCATAGGATATATACGGTTATGTTGTCGAATTCAGTGGAGACCAGCATGGATCCCGGTTTATCCAGCAAAAGCTCGAGACCGCGAACAGTGACGAAAAGGAGATGGTGTTCCGGGAAATCCAAAGCAACGCGCTGCAATTGATGACCGATGTTTTTGGCAACTACGTCGTACAGAAACTTTTTGAACACGGCAACCAGACTCAGAAGAAGGTTCTAGCCAATTCGATGAAGGGGCATATCCTGAGCTTGTCTCTTCAGATGTATGGATGTCGTGTCGTGCAAAAGGTAAGATCATCTTCATGTTAGGCTGCTGAGGATAAGTTACTGACGCCAGCGTAGGCATTGGAACATATTCTTACCGATCAACAAGCAACCATGGTTAAGGAACTCGAAAACAATGTTCTTCGCTGTGTTCGAGATCAAAATGGAAACCATGTGGTTCAGAAAGCCATCGAACGCGTGCCATCAGAGCATGTACACTTCATAATTGATGCCTTCATCGGCGGCGTGGAGAAACTTGCCACCCATCCTTATGGATGCCGTGTCATTCAGCGGATGCTTGAACATTGCAAGCAGGTGGACCGCGAGCAAATTCTTTCGGAGTTGCATGCCTGCACAACCAAACTTATCCCCGACCAGTTCGGAAATTATGTGATCCAACATGTGATCGAGCATGGCGAGGAGAAAGATCGTTCCGCCATGATTAACATTGTCATTTCGAACCTCATGTCTCATTCGAAGCATAAGTTCGCCAGTAACGTGGTCGAAAAAAGTATTGAATTTGGCGAAGAAGGCCAACGCTGTCACATCATTAGTATGCTCACGCAGAGCAACGACAGATCCGAAAGTCCCCTGCCCGCACTGATCCGTGATCAGTATGGCAACTATGTTATACGTAAGTGGCCCTTCGGCTCTTCGTCGCATTTGAAACCCTGGCGCTGACCCTCGTTGCAGAAAAGGTATTGAGCAAGCTGAAAGGCGAAGAGAGGGAGACTCTCGCGGAGCAGATTCGGCCCCTACTTGCCGGGCTGAAAAAATACAGCTATGGCAAGCAAATTGCTGCCATCGAAAAACTAGTATATCCTTCCGGTGGCGTTCCTCCCCCGGCCCATGCCAGTCATACCTCGTCATCTACTACGCCCCCCAACTCGCACAAATCCTCTCCTCAGCCGTCCAAGCGCTCTGTGAATGGATCCGAGAGCGGCCGGGGGCCGGTTGTCGGGGCGGCACCGCCTACACCACCTCCCACCGACACTCAAACCAATGTCGACGGATCGGTCGAACCCAAGAGTGTTGCCAAAAGCACCGTAGCTCCTTTGGCCGAGTCCGAGTCGGCTGATGCCATTCCGGCCACGTCGGTCAACACCAATGGCACCACCTAAATTCCAAAAGGCGAACGTCACACTCCTCTTTTTTGCTTCTCCTGTCCAAATTTTTTATGGCTTTTTATTTATCCTTTTTTCTTTACTATCTTCCTTTCTCCCACACCACCCCTTCAACCAGTTCATTTTTAATCCAAGCGTATACATACAGGTCTTCTGAGGGGTATGAGTCTTCGAGGTTAATTACTTTTTTTTTTCTGCCTTTTTATCTTTCACGGGCATGACGGCGTAAAAAGCAAAGGGTATCATGGCGGGAGGAAAGGGGGTTTGCGATATCTATACCTGCTCCTGTTGTTTTTCTTTTCTTTTCTTCTGTTTATTTCTTTCATATCCCTATCACTTTCCACCCTCCCTCCCCTTGTCTTGAAACCTTGCCTTTTTTAATTTGTCAATGGTTTCTCTTCAACGTTTTTGTCGGAAGGTTCAATGTTACGAAAATGAAGCCACGCCTCCCTAGTCGTTGATCGTTCTGTTCTTTGCTTCTTGTTCAAATTATGAGGGTCGGCGTCTTGATTGGTTGAACAAAGGATACCGGGATTCCACTCTTCTTTGACCTGCAGAGGTCGCAAAGATTCGAGACCTTGGACATATGGGACGAATCCGGAATTAGGGAAAGAAAATGGGAATTGCTTGGAGCATCTAGAATGCTTTGTTTGCTTCCAATCGGTATACAGCCAAATGAATTCAGAACGCTGTCGTACCTTGCCCAAATTGCTGTCGATAGTTCCTCTTGCTTAGTACTGTGAACGAATGAATGTTAATGTGAACTTGGGCGGACTCGAGAATTTGAAGTGTATGGAGTAGAGTAGTAGGAGATATTCTCGTGATCTGTCTTATCGGCACTTATCGCCACGTGACGTCGTCGTCTTCGTCCGTCTCCAATCAATTCTTCCTCTCCTCACTCCTTTGCGCGAGGACCTCCAACCTCGCTGGATCTACTCTACGAATATTCTTCCAGCTCTTAGATACCACAAATACACCGACACGCTCCAACATCTACTCTACCACCACGATCACACGAACCTCTATCTTCACCAACCCTCCACACGCATACGAAACCACAACCAACCAACTCAACCTCACACTCTCAAACCCACCCCAAACCTAGAAAGAAAAAAAAAAAAACCAACAACCCACCCCCCTTAAAGAAAACAAAAAAATGTCCTCAAACGTCGGCCTCTCGACCCCCCGCGGAAGCGGAACATCGGGGTACGTGCAACGCAACTTCGCATTCATGAAGCCGCGCACGGCGGGCTACGGGGCGCCGTATCCGCCTGTCTCATCGGGCGCGAATGCCACGGACCCCGGACGGCCTTTTAAGCAGAGGATGCCGGATCGGCAGATCTTGGAGCATGATCGGAGGAGGGCGGTTGAGGTTAAGGTGATGGAGGAGAGGGAGAGGTTGGAGGAGGTGAATGAGCGGTTGGAGGAGGAGATGGAGGGGAAGGAGGATGGCGATGAGGGTGTCGACAAAAAGGGGGAGGAGGAGGGAAAGGAGAAGGAGAGGATCCTAACGGACGAAGAAATCGACGAGCGATGCGAGGCTTTGCGCGAGAAACTACTGAAAGAGCTCGAGGCGGACGAGGCGCGGGAACAACAGCGCGGGCAGCAGCAGCCGGCGTCGAGGAAAGGGTGGGGACGCGATTTGCCGCCGAAGGAGAGGCGCCAGTTCAAGTCTTATCAGGTGCATGAGCAGGCGGAGGCGAAGATTGAAGAGAGCGAGCGGTTGCGCAGGGCGTTGGGGATTAGGGAGGATCGGGAGACGGGGGAGTTGTCGAGTGGGTTCCGGAGACGGGATTCGGAGGGGAGGAAGAGGGAGGGAGATCGTGAGAGGTATTGATTTGGTCCTTCGTTTTCCAATATTCGTCTTGTTTCTTAGTCTTGTTGTTATTCTTTCTATGCGGTTTTGTTCCGGGCGTTGTTGGGGATCGTTGGCTTGGTTTGCATTTCTTTGGTCAACTTGTATGTATAACCTCACAAATATATTATGGATATGACTACGATCGAACAAGCATGAAACCAGATTACAGTGCGACGAACAAATGCAATATATCTATTCGTATCAATTCAACTTTTATAGATAAAGAATTCCCTGCCTGCTAATACACTAAAGTAGCCTTATATACAGGACCTCAAGCTAAGCACCGAGCTTCTCGATCACCCATCCCTCTCTGGGATCTTTCTTCTGAACCACCTTCTTCGCCGGCAACGGCCATCCCATACGCCCAGTCTCATCCACCAGCGACGGAATCACCCAGCAAGCGCGCCGAGGCGGAACGCCGCCCAGCTCTTCAATGTTCCCAATCGGTTTGCCGTATTCGATCAGTGGCGTGCCCTGCGCAATGGCCGAGAGTTGCAAGCCACTCGGGGACACGAGAGGATACATTCTGATCTTGGATGCCTGCTCGGATACCATCGACGGCGACGACTGCTGCAGATGAGAGTAGATGATGTACTGGGGCATCTCCTTCGGCGAGAGATTAGCCATCAGCGACGAAGGGTGCACGTAGACCGCCTTCTCGTGCAGCTCGACCGCATGTCCTTCGCGCGAGCTGAAGAGCGTGAAGTACGGGACGTCGATGGCTCGTTTGGGCTTCCGGTCCATCTCGGGAGGTACCGGGGCTAGATCCGCGCGGATGGCCACGTTGTCGATGAACCCGGCCGCGATGATCTGTTTCAGCGCCTTGATTTGCTTCTCCGTCGGCTCGGGGAGACGGGCCTGGTACGCGGAAATGAGACCGGGGTTGTTGGTTCGCACGATGTCGGTCAGTTGGCTGCGTAGCTGGGTGGCTTCCTTGAAGGCCTTGGCCCGCAGGAACATCTTGTCGCAGAATGCGTCCCCGTCGGAGGCATAGCCGTAGGCGCAGATGGCGGACAGGTATTTGAGAGCGTCGGCGGTATCGTCGTGCTTGCTGAACAGACGATGGGCTCTGTTGTAGTCCTTGTGGCGTTGCTCCCTGGCGGTATCCTCCAGTCGGTCTGAGTTCGTGTAGATTCCGCGCTCGTCGTCGTCCTTGGCGGGCGTGGGATCGATCTGATTCTCGGGCACGAACAGATCGCCGACAGCTAAGGCTGCAACCAAGGCGATGACATAGGGCATACAGCCGTGCTGATGGCCGATGTGCAGCATTTTGCCAAATCTGGGAGACAACGGATAGGTGGACAGACGATTTCCGATCTGTGTGATCTTTCCTTGCGAGGAGAGCGCGCCGAGGTTCTTCAGCAACTTCTCCGCCTTTGCCAACCCGTGACGGCTTGGAGGTGTTGGGAAGGGGAAATTGATGACGTTGTGAAGACCCATGCTCTTCATCTGTAGAACGACTCCCTCGATGGGCGTCCGAAGAATTTCCGGATCGGTGTATTCGGCAAACTCTCCTTCATACACCGCAGATGAGTAGAGTCGGTAGCAGTGACCAGGTCCAGTTCTACCGGCTCGTCCGGCTCTTTGGTTTGCACTGGCCTTGCTAATCCAGTCCACCTGGAACTTCTGAACTCCCGTCGCCAAGTCATACTGCTTTTCCTTGGCTCGTCCGCAATCGAAGACATACTTGATGCCCGGGATTGTAAGACTGGTCTCGGCTACGTTGGTAGCCAAGACAATGAGTCGCGAGTTCTCTGGGGGTGGTTCGAAAACCTTCAACTGCTCCTTTGTGGGTAGTTGCGAATACAAAGGCAACACATGGACTTGGGTCGACGAGTCCATTGCTTCTTCCTCCATATCAAACCCTTCATCTATATCCGAGTCATCCAAACCCGTGATTTCAATGTCACTGTCGTCGTCGTCATATGCATTCCCAGGGGTGGATAGATCGGTTCCACCGATGTCCAAATCTTCTGCTTCAAGCGGTGCATCGTTCGCTGAGAGCTGGACCTTGGCTTGGGCAACATCCCCCCGTTGAGTAGGTTTGAAGGCCTGTTTCAGACGCTTTGAAAGCTGCCTGATCTCGTTCTGTCCAGTCAAGAACACCAGCATGCCTCCGGGAGGCAGTTTGCGGTGACCCCTCGAGACCTTCCGGTACAATTCCTCAACGTAATCGCGGTGGGTCCGCCGGGAAAAGTGCACGGTAACAGGGTATTGCCGGCCCTCCGCCTGCACCAGGGGTGGCGCTCCGTGACGGAAAAGACTAGCATTCTGTGTGAAATCAGAGATGCGTAGAGTAGCCGACATGACCACAAGCTTGAGAGGCTTCACCGACGGGTCCTCTTCGCTCATGTTTTTCCGCAAGTCGACAATGCGGCTGACCATGCCGATGAGAATATCAGTATTGACACTCCGTTCGTGGGCTTCATCAATCACAATGATAGAATATTTGCTCAAAGAAAAGTCCTCGGCAATCTCCCGGATAAGAATACCGTCGGTCATGAACTTGATCGCCGTTTTCTTTGACACGGTGCTTTCGAATCGAATCTGGTATGAAACTTGGTCGGAAAACGAGCCCAGTTCATCACCAACTCGTTTCGCCATACTAACAGCAGCAACTCGTCGAGGCTGTGTTACTGCAATCATGCCGGGGTTTGGGCTGTCGGGGTTACCAAAACCGGCTTCAAACAAAAATTGGGGCAACTGAGTAGTTTTTCCACTACCAGTAGCTCCCCAAATCACAATGGAAGAGTTGTTGTAGATTGCTTCCATGATTTTCTGTTCCTCGCCCACAATCGGTAGTCCCAAACGCGCATTCTGCATTTCCTCCGTACGTTCGACTGGAACGCTGAAAGCCTTTCTGAACGGGTTGCCCTGGGTCACCTGGAGCTCTGGAGGCAGCGGTTCCTCCTGATAAACGGTATTTTGGGCAGGCTTCTTGGATTCAGGGACAATTGGTAGGTCCTCATGTACAACGGGACCCGTCGTAGGTTGGAATCCTGCAGCTTCATTGATTTGCTGCCTTGCCCATGCCTTGAAAGCAGACTGACGAGGCTTCGGTTTATCATCTTCCTCGTCCTCTTCCTCTTCGTCCTCTTCCTCTTCGTCCTCGTCCTCGTCGTCATCGCCATCGTCTTCACTGTCATCTTCCCCAGAACCGTCTGTCCCCGACTCTTCCGAGTTATCGATCTCATCCTGCTCCGCATCATCATCCAGGTCAGATGCGGATTCATCATCCTCATCCTCCTCGTCGTCCGAGTCGAAACCTTCCCATGGAACATCTTGTGTAACTACAACCGGCTGCTTGGCTTTGGGGGCCTGCTTTCTCTTCTTGAGGACTGGGAAACCATCTGGGCCGAGTTCAAGAGGGCGCTTTAGTCCACTACCGCTTGGTCCTGCCGGTTGGGGGATTTTATCGTTAACTGTCACGCCTGACGGGGGGAGCGAATCATCAGAGTCATCGTCTGAGTGCTCTAGCTCGGGGCCGCGTTCATGAGCAGCGGTAGGTGCTGAGGCTCTATCACCCTCGTCATTTCTTTTGCGCTTGCCGAGCTCTTTAGAGCTTTGAAATGCTGAGGTATCGGTCTTCGATTTTGCAAGTTTCTTGAGGAGCTCGAGGTTCTCTTCTTTCTTGAGTTTATTTTCCTGCCCGATCGTTAGTGAAAAGATCAAGATTATATCCAATTCAACCTATTAATCCACTTACAATATACTTGTCTAACCGTTTCTGTTTCTTCGAAGAAATGTTGGTATGTTGCGATCGCAATTCATCTCTCAGCTGCTGTCTCTTTGCTTCCTTGTCGCTCTTAGAGACGGGCAATACCTCCGCGGCATTGGTGTCCACCGGAGCGCTGGTTGTTGCAGCATTCTGTTTGTGCTTTTGCTTTCGTTGACGGGGTACGAATTTGGGCATGGTGTTATACAGCCAGGATACCTCTGTCTCTAGCCGAAGACAAAGGCAGCAAACCTCAGATTGGACTGTAGAACAGAGATTTGTTCCTCACTGATGAAGGCGGAAAAAATGAAAAAAATCAGGCGGCGTGAACATTCTGCTGGAAGGCGGTGAAGCTATTCTCACCGCCCGGGGATCGCACCGTGACGGCCGTCCCGCACTTGTTCTCCTACACTTCTCCGTCGCACTCTTAGTTCACCTCTGGGAGTCTCCTTGGATTCATTGCATCCTTCTGTCATTGTTATTATTCCGTTCAGATAGGACACAAAAGACAAGATAAAGAAAAGGAACAATTCGACCCAGAGAAGAACAGGTTTTCACACCCGAAAACAGCAAAACAACAAAAACAACACGTGCGGGGACATTCCAACACATCTCTCACCATGACTGATTCTTTCAACCTTGATTCGTTTCAGGAATCACTGAATCTTCCATACCCTGCTGTCACAAGGCAAGCTTCTGGAGTTGTAAATGGGATCCAAACAGATGTCATGTGTGTGAACTTTAGTGATAGGATCCTGGTGACAGTCTCACAAAAAGGTCGACTAGGTCATTGGGTACGTCCTTCACAAAATGTTCGTCCTCGCTTTCAACTAACAAATAGCAAAGTTACATGTACCGCTGGAAAACCACAATCCTGGGACAGAAGGGCATCACACCATCTCAGAGGCATCGGACGACAGTTTACTGCCAATCAGTAGCTTAACTGCCACCTCGCTACTTGGAGGCCGGATTCCTAGTCATGAAACCATCGGTCAGCTCTATGCTCGTCAAATTGGGAGTGTCATTGTGACGAAGACTCCCAATGAAAATCGACTCCTTGTTGTCGGGCTGGGTCTGGAAGCTGCCGAGCCAAACAGGGATGTCTTCTTTGCCATCATAGACCTTGTGCTCCAATGTCTCTAAAACCAGACTCGACCTGAAGAGAGTGACGGAAAAGAAAACTCACAGATCCAAACGGCAAATCCTATTCCCTGGTATTTCTTCTTTGGTCTCTCGATCCTCACGTTGTTGATCCTCAGGCCATGCACGAGTCGGCACAGCATGCTTCGCTCCTCCTCATTGAAACCCCTGAAGCGCAACTGTCCAAGGAATTCGAATGCGCCGCTAAATAGGGCCTTGATCAAGTCTTTCTCGTCAAACCCCGGGATCTTCCAATTCTCGTTGGCGACAACGGTCAAGGAATAAACCCTCATAGGCTCTCCCATTCGCAAAGTTGTGATGAATTCTGAGAAAGCCCAGCGGCGGTGCAAGGCAATATTGAAATCTTCCGATCCCAACAAGAGGAAGATTGATCCATACGACCTCTTCCACATGGAGGGAAGAGTGCGGCAGGGGTACTCAAGGTACTTATGATGGCTCACGCAGCTACAGCATCTAAGTGGTTTAGGCACGCGTCGAAAGATATCCGCAGAGAACGAACCATACGTCCTAAGGAAAAGAGTGCGGTAACTCAAGCAATGGAAAAGGGCAATGGAACATTCATGATAAATGGTATGACAAGTTCTGAGGAGTGCCAGTTTCGCCAACTTAACGCGCTTGGTCCTGCCTATTTCGACGGCACTAAGGTCATGGATGAAAGAAGCCTCATATATCCTGAATCTGACCTGAATAGGCAACCAAAAGAGCTTGCAGCGCAGGTTTCGATTTCCAAGGATTAGGGGCTCTCTCACCAACCTGCTTGCCTCGGAAACAATTGTGTGATGGTAGCTGGGCTTGGCGTCGTGTTTCACCAGTCGAGTCAAGTTGGGAATTTCTTCGTCGTGCTTTTCTTGGTGAAACTGAATTGTGACTCTATTTCATCGCGTCGCATTAGCAGTTGAGCTTATCACACCAAAATACCAATCAACAACTCACCCAGAATTGGAGGGATCAAGACGGCGAAATAGGGGAGCCGGTTTCTTTCTTTTCGCTTCGGTACTTTCGGCATCATGGACCTTTGCCTGAAATATTGCCTGGCAATTCTCTTGGTTGTGTTCCTGAGGAATCACCTGGGCGACGATTTCTGGGGCATCTTTTACCTCATCCTCTTGCGGGGCCGGAGGGCCCTCTGCCTGAGGCACGCCACTCATTGCTTTTTAGGAGTGGAGGCTAACCGGTCTGGACTATCTGATAGAATGGTAGCTCTTTACAAGAGATTGCCACGTGAGGTGGTGGTTGTGAAATGGTTGCTGGGTGAAGAAGTAGGAGAAAAGGTTGAGTGAGGAATCTCATACGCTCAGAAATGTATGTACAATACACAACACACTAGGTCGACTTGAGTTAAGGAAATGCTTTTCCTGCTACTGTCTGTCTATCACCGTTGTTTTTTTGGTATTTTAACTAAGTACAACTGATCTACTTTTTGTAGTGGGTAAGCTAGGGGATAGATAGCCTTGATTGGTATTCAGTACAGCTACCCAAATTAGGGTGATCTAAGGCTACAGTGGGTAATTATGAGGAAAATGAAGTAGATTGAACCTGATACAGGGTATTCATGCACCAACAAGCATCATTCACAAGCTGAAAGTCCCCAGTCCATACCTGCGGACAATTCCGCCAACGCTCACGTGACTTCACACACGTGACGCGCAACCATACATAGTCTCACATCCAGTACAAGCATGTCAACATCTCCCCCATCCTTCGTCCCTGTCTCATCTATGCTCACGGCGATCCAAGAATCGACCTGATACTTACTGTACATGGCTTGCTTTTGCATCCGTGCACAAACGCTCACTTGACCTTCTTCTTTCTTGTGTCGCATTATAAACATAAGCTGTTCTATCCGAATAAGTGCTGATCTGGAGAGGTATTTGGAGCTGCTACCATCTCAAAAAAGACGTCCTCAAACATTTCTGGCTAATAATGATACAGTTTCCAAGCCTCGAGTCTTCACTTTTTTTATCCCTTTCATTCACAACAAAATCATCTACCTTTCCTCCACCTCCCTCATCTTTCCATTGTCATTTATCTATCTGTTTATCATCAATTCTCTTCTAAAAGACATCATGTCTGATACAAGCGCTAATGATCAAGATGATAGTGATATCAGAGCAGCTATTGCTGCCTCTCTAAGAGACTTCTACGGTTCTGATTCGCAAACTCGGGGCAGCCAAGGTGGCATTGTTGATTTGACTGGCGATACAGATGACGATGATGTTGTACCCGCGCAACCAAAGTCAAACTCAGTGATTGGCGTTGATACAGATAGTGAATCGATTGTTGCTCCCGTTGAGAACCTTGATGGTGGTGATGATGATGTTGATAACGACGATGATGAAGATTTGAGGAGAGCAATCGAGTTATCGAAGCAAGATTTCAGACATGGCCCAGGCTCACCAGAGTCCCCACTGTACATTTCCGATCATGGGCAGGCCTCGAAACCAGTTGCACCTCAACAAACCCACGTCTCGTCGGGCGAGCAAAATATACCAGGACCCATGGGTGTACTTGGCTTGAATCGAAAGCAGATGGAACAGGAGCGCCTCGCGCGTCTTGCCAAGAGAAAACCAGAAGATACCCCATTGTCTGATGAGCGCGAGAAGAAGCAATTGAAAACCCAGGCGTCTGCGAAGGCTCAAATGAAGGAAGATCTTGACAAGCTTTCAACTACCATTGATTCGTTCAAACCACAAACCACACGTCCAGAGGCTAGCAAGCTATCTCCTAACATACCCTCGCCTCAGCCGTCTGTCCAGTTCCCTGCCGGTGTGGTCAAGAAGACCTGGTCATATTCTAGTCCGCGCCGTGGTGATGATATCAAAATCGAAGAAGTCTTTCAAAAATCGAACTTAGAACTGGCCGTTCTAAGCTCATTCATGTGGGATATGGATTGGCTCTTTTCCAAACTTGACACGCGAAACTCTCGGTTCTTGCTAATAATGCAGGCCAAGGATGATGCAACAGTGAGTTCTTGCTCCAATGTCTCGATTTTCTATTGAAATTAATCATATTCCTGGAAATAGAAGCGTCAATACGAGTCGGAGACAGCAGCCATGAAAAACCTCAGATTATGTTTTCCTCCTATGGAACCGCAAGTGAACTGCATGCACTCCAAGTTGATGCTGCTTTTCCACAAGGATTATCTCCGGATTGTGGTCCCAACCGCCAACTTGACGCCATTTGATTGGGGTGAAAAGGGGGGCGTCATGGAGAATGTAGGGCTTACCTGGGCTTTCATTTCGTTAAGTTGCTGACACAGAGACCCAGTCTGCTTTTCTGATCGATCTCCCCCTAAGGCTCGATAAAACTTCCGAGATCCCCAAGACTGCCTTTTACCAAAATCTAGTTTATTTCCTGGAAGCCAGCACGCTGCACGAGAATGTGATATCCAAGCTTGGAAACTATGATTTCAGCAAAACTGAGCATTTTGAATTTGTTCATACCATGTAAGTTTCCTCCTGATGTAGCAAACCAAGAAGATACCACTAATGTACATTAGTGGTGGCGCTCACACAGGAAATGCATGGAAACGAACAGGTTATTGCGGTCTGGGTCGCGCAGTGGCTTCACTCGGCCTGCAGACACCCAAACCAGTTAACATTGATTTTGTGGTAAGTCCAAATAAGCCCAGCATGCCGTGTACTCTACTCATGTACAAACAGACATCATCTCTCGGCTCCTTAACAGACGAGTTCCTGAGATCCTTATACCTCGCCTCGCAAGGTAGATCCCACCCACCAATCCACACGAATACCATCTTCTTCAACTAACCAACCTCCCCCAAAAGGCGACGACGGATCCACCGAGTTCACCCTCCGCACCGCCAAATCCTTCCCTGCGAGAAGCCGCACCGACCCGAATAAGCTGATCCAGAAGACCACCGGCGAGGAATCCAAAAGCCGGTTCCGCGTCTACTACCCATCCCAGGAAGTCGTCAGGAGTTCTCGCGGTGGTCCCCAAAACGCAGGAACCATCTGCTTCTCGGAGAAATGGTACGAAGGCGCCAAGTTTCCTCGCCATGTGCTTCGCGACTGCAAGAGTACGCGTTTCGGGCTGTTGATGCATAATAAGGTAGGTTTAGATTGGAGTTGCTTGTGTTTGTCGGAATGACTCTTTTGGAATGTCATTTACTCATATGGTGTCACGTATGCTTGCTTACTTATTTATGCTCCTGCATAAAACAGCTCTTATACGTCCGACCCGATGAACCGATTCCACTGAAAAACAACACCCAATGCCGCGCGTGGGCGTATGTCGGCAGTGCCAATCTCTCTGAAAGTGCCTGGTGAGTGAATACATGGTCATCCAGTCCCTCGTCTTCTCTATCTATATATCTATATACCTAGTTTCTTTTGACCTTTCCCCCTCCCCCCTGCAAACAAGTTACATTTTCTGACCTAGAAAACCAAAAATTAAGGGGCCGTCTCGTCCAAGACCGCTCAACCAAGGAACTCAAACTGAACTGCCGCAACTGGGAATGCGGTGTTCTTGTGCCTGTCATCGAGCAGAAGAAACCAGACACCAAAGCTGAATCTACGGACAAGGACGAGGCCGAGTTCGTTGATCCCGACGAAACGTCCTCCGAGTCCTCGAGTCAGCTGGGTAAGGAAGATGAAAAGGAACCCGAGCCCGAACCAGTTGACCCCGAGTCAGCTACCGGCTTAGATGTTTTCAAAGGCACCATCCCAGTGCCGATGGAGTTTCCCGGCGAGCGATACGGAGCGAATCTCACACCGTGGTATAATTCTACCTTTTGAGTCAGTGAAACAATGAATGTGGAATGGGAGGGAACAATCAATTGGGTATAGATTGGTTGAACTATCTAAGAAGATATAATTCAATATGACATTAATAATATGTTGGCGTCAGTGGGAATACGATGATTCGTCCAAAGCGTTTCTGTCAAATCCAAAAAAAGAACACACGCTGTCTATCTTGCTGGTTGAAAATGTGCCAATGACAAAACTTTTTCTGCTTTCCTTGCAACAATTCGCATATTAGGATTTGATCTTCTTTTCTCAACTCTGGCCTTTGCCATGTTGTCCAACTCCGATCCTACAAGTTTGGGAAACGGAGAGAACAGCAAAGAGAACCAGAGGCAAGTGCCAAGTAATCAAGAGATTACTGCTGGGCTTTCTCAGACTTCTTGGTAAAGAGGCCCTTGATACCGTTGATGATCATGCCAAAACCGCCAAAGATGTATCCGATGCCAAAGGACCAGCCCCGGACACGGACGGTGTAGATGAAGAAGTAAACCAGGGCCCAGTTGATGATCACAAAGGCCAAGAAGATACCAAAGCAGCGCCACTTGTCTCCGTCGTGGACGTTCAGCGTTTGCATGTACTCCATACCATCGCGGTAAGGGCAGTACTGGCAGTCGGAAGTGGCGTTGGGATCGACCAGATATCCGGCGCCGGCGATGTTTCTGACGAAGTCGTTGGCGTAGTCACCGCAGGTGGAGCCGGGGGGCGGGTCGAAGTGCGTCGACTCCATGGAGGTGCAGTTGATTTCGACCGATGGGAACACGCTGGAGATGACACCGCGAAGCCACCAGGTGACCGGGTTGACGTAGTACATCCAGTACTTCCAGAAGACCGGGTAGTCACTGTAAGGACGAACAATACCGTTGAACAGGTTGACCATGACGAAGAAGAAGGGGAGAACCTATTAAAAGTCTATTGTTAGTATATGACTGTGAAATAACGGAAAGAGGGGAACGGACATTAGAGATCACAGTGAATGATGGCGCAAAGGCACAAATCCACTGTCCCCAGCTAGCCTGGAACAGGAAGAAAAGCATGGACATGAGGAACACGTATCCAGCACTGCTCGAGTCGGTGGGGAATCCAACTGGGTAGTACCACAGAAGCCAGTAGATGAGGCCGGAGATGATCGCCATCGGGATCTCACAGACAACGTTGGCCGTGCAGAAAGCGAACCAGCCGTAGATTCGACTGGGGTATTCACGAGCTTCCCAGAGGGCGCGGTTGATGTAAAACTTGGGCACAATACTGTTCAGAACGATGGGAGGAATCAGGATAATCAAGAAGATTGAGAACATGCGGTTCTGCATGCTGGCCAGAGAATCGTCGAGCATCCAGAAAGTCTATGATAGGGTTAGCAATGCGCAAAAGCAATGGAGACGAGAGTCAACTTACAAATCCGTTGAAGATACCAATAATAACACTGACGAACAACTTTCCATAGTAGTACGATGGGTCTCTCCAGTACTGCCTGAAAATTCGCTCGGTAAGGAGGACAGTTTGGGTCCAAGTAGGAGCAGCAAACTCATATTGAACTCCCTTCTCAGCGATAGGGATTTTGCTGCGCTCTTCCCTGATGTGCTTGATTTCATCCAAGATCCGGCGGTTTTGATCAGAGTTTTTCCATTCTTCGTTCCAATCCAGGTTTTTCCCGTCCTTCTTAGTTGCCTTGGCTGCCGTTTCCAGGATAAACTCGGCAACGTTCTTCGTCGGGGGGCAAACAACACCGCGGTCGGCAAAGTATTTGATTACATCACGGCCCTCGTGGCCGACAGGACCAAAGTAGAAGGTGTTTCCACCCGGGTTCAGGGCCAGGATCATATCGAATTGTTGAATGAGCATGGACGAGGGCTGGTGAATGGTGCACACAATAGCCTGTCCTGCCTGCGAGAGTTTCTTCAGGAATCGAACGATTGAGAAAGCTGCTTGACTGTCAAGACCACTGGTAGGCTCGTCCAAAAACAGGAGAAGACTGGGTTTAGCCGCCAATTCAACACCGATGGTCACTCGCTTCTTCTGTTCAACATTAAGAGAGCCAATGATGGCGTCCTGGATGTCTTCCAATTCCAAAAGGTCGATAATCTGGTTCACGTAATCCAGCTTCTCCTCCTTGGGGGTATTTCGATCTTGACGGAGGATTGCTGAGAACTCAAGCGCTTCTCGGATTGTAGATGTATTGTCGTGAAGGTCCATCTGTTCACAGAAACCAGTGCCTCTCTGGAAATCGGCTCCAAGAGGATGGCCATCGACAAGCATGTCGCCGGTGACAACTCCCATCTTCTGACGCTGAGCCAAAGTATTGAGAAGCGTCGTTTTACCTGCTCCAGAAGCACCCATCAAAGCGATCATGAGTCCTGGCTTCGCATATCCATTGACACCGTTCAGCAGTTTTCTAGTTCCGCCACCGTAAGGCACCGTGTATTCAACATTTGACCAGGTGAAAATGCGATCACTGGAGGAGATACGGTTGAAGGTATCAGCGGCACCAGAAGAATTCGCCTCTCCGCGAGACAATGCAGCGTCATCTCCGGCGTTTCTGGCTCCCTCTTCATCACTCTCCTTGGTGTTCTGAGCTTTCAGCTGCTTGGCGCGCTTGGAGCGCTTGAAGACCAACGCGCCGCCGCCACCGCCAACGAAGGACAGGAACTCGGCGGCAAGAATGGTAACCAGCAGGTAGAGTACAGTGAAAGCAATGACAACACCAAAGTTGCGCCACAAGTGATGTCGGGTGAACTGGAAGGTTGTATCGAGGTACTGAGCTCCACCAACCGAGGTCTCTCCAAGACGAGATCCCGTAAGTGCACAGCCTTGGTATCTTGGATCCACCCCTGGGCCCTGAGGGACCAGCTGCGAGGGTGCACAGTTCATAGTACGATCGGAGAACTCGTTGGATAAAACCGACTCGTAACTATACGAGAGAGGATTCACATAGAAGAGCCATCCGAACCAGATCGAGCCGTCAATGAGACTTTGTTTCGGGATCACATAACCAACGAAGAGAATCAACACGTTCAAAGCGATACCACTGAATCGGACAGCATCATCGATCGTCGGGGAAAGCGCCGCAAACATACGGTAGAGCGATGTGATGCAGAACGTTGTCGTATACACGAAAAGGAAGTAGATGAAGAACTTGGATGCACTCACGTCGAGTCCTGTCATGAAGTAGACGATGATGGTGAAAGGCACAACCATGCAGAAAATGGCTGGGAAATCCACCACGACTCGGGCAATTGCAACAGCAGACGGACGGTAGAAGGCATAATCCTTGTGGCGGGCAACGATTGCACGACCAGAGACAGCAGGCATCAGTTCCGTCAGTTGCAACCAACCCAGGAACAGAATGGAGAAGAACAGGGCACCACCACGCGAGAATGCGCCGCTAGTATCCAGAGATTCACCGTAGAACAGAGAAGAGACAATAAGACCGTTAGAAATGATGATGAAGTATTTGGTGTAGAGGGAAGTTTTGTCTCCCCACAGCAACCAAAACTCACGCCGCACGCAGGCTGCGACTTGCTGAACGATGGAGACGGTGTAGCTGGACTTCTTCGAAACGGTCTTACTCTTAGACTGGGCAACGGTTTTTTGGAAGCGGCGAGTGTCCTCCTGGTTGGTGTCTTGCAATCTCTTTTCGTAGTCGCAGACGTCGTTCCAGATTTGCTTGTACGCGTTACTCTGCTTGAAAATGGACTCAAGCTCTTCCGCGGTCTTCGGGGTCGACGCTTCGCGGCCGGGCTGGAACTGGCGGGCATTCGGGTCGCAGAGGGAGGTGAGGAAATCGGCGGTGGTGGACTGGTCGGGGCAATAGAAACCAAGGTTGACAAAATACTGTCTCGCCTCGTCGGCAGGCCCTTGGTAGAGCATACGGCCCGAGTCGATGACCATCACTTTGTCCATCAGCTCGTAGATGCTTTCTCCGGCCTGATACAAGGTAACAAGAGTAGTCCGCTTACTGACATCGGTCATGATGCGAAGGGACTTGGCGTAATCCAAAGCGGTACTAGCATCCAAACCTCTAGTAGAGTTGTCCCAGCAAACCACCGAGGATTTGGTAGCAAGCGTTTCGGCAATACTGACACGCTTCCTCTCACCACCCGACACACCACGAACGTACTCGTTACCCACGAGGGTATTTTTGGTGTGGGTGATACCGAACATCTTCAGTAGGGCGTCAATGATGACAGGGATGCTAGACTTGTCGTGCTTCTTGGTTTTGTTGATCAAGGAGAACTTCAAGGTCTGCCAGACAGTGAGGTTCGGGAAATGCTGGTCGTCTTCCTGGTTGTAGTTGACCTCACCCCGGAAATGCTTGTTCTGCTCTTCCGAGGACAGACCACCGTAGTTGATATCGCCCTCGACGCCAGCGAAAGCACCGCGGTCATTTGCAATGGTCTTCAGGAAGGTCGAACAGCCAGCGCCTGGCCTACCAAGCACCAGCATCATTTCACCCTCCCGAACGGCTCCACTGAAATCGTGAAGCAGGTCTCGAACTGGGGGACGCTTGCCGAAGTGAAGTTGCGGGATGAAGTTGGTGACGAGTTTATACAAATCGGGCCCGAAAGTGCCGACGACTGCATCGGGCAAGGTCCGCACGAACGAAGCACCAGTTTCAATGCCCTTCACGGTCACGTTCTTGAACACCACGCCGACTTTCTTCGCAGGTTCACCCGCGGTCGTGCGGCGCTCGAGCTGACCACCCATCAAAAACTCGCTGAGGTCGAACCCACCCTGGAAATCTTCATCGGCGGCGGACGAAGCCTCGTCAAAGGCTTTCTCTTCATCCCGGGGTTGGCTTTGTCGACGAGCCTTGGCGGTTGATCGAGTTCGGTGCAGACTGAGCCGAGTCAATTCTCGCCTCATCTCCTCGAAATCCTCCATTGCGCCTCGACGGGAGACTGGGTCTCCCTGTTCCTGCTCTCCCCATCGTTCGTCGACCGACAAATCGGTAACACTAGTCGAGGAAGATGAGATGGTGTGCTCCGGGGCCACGGCATGGTTATATTGAGGTTCATCGTGCGTCGCCGCCGGGCCGTTGGTCGGAACCTCTGGCTGACGAGGTTCGTCAGCCATATTGTGACGGAGATTTCTTATCTATTGCCGATCTTCGGAAATTGATATACTAGATAATAGATATTAGATGTAACGAGAAACCGCGATAATTGGTTGGGTTGTCTCGGGAAATAGGACGGCAAAGTAGTATCCGGAGTAATATGTATGTATGTATATGAATATATACAGATAGGAAGAAAGGAGAGAAGTATAGGGGATTAAAGTCGATTAGAAAAGGCCGAAGCGTGGATCGAGTTTTTTTTAGGGAGGGGAGAGGGTCAGATAACAACAACAACGGCGCCAACAGAACACGAAGCAAAAAAAGAGCAGGGAGCAGACGTGCGACAAAAGGAAGCTTTATAGAAACCTCGACCATTGCATCATGGTCATTTTACGGCCGTCTCCATTATTAAGTCCGGAAGGCAAGAACGGAAAAATCTGTGGATTTGTCAGGTTTGGCAGAGCAAGCAGCAACCGAGACGGAATAAACTGATCAATCAGAGGGCCGAAAGAGCAGGCTTACCATCCGTCCAGTCGTCGACAGCCGAATTGTGGAGCATTAGAAAGATTGCGAAAGCCAGAGACAAGCGAGGTGCGAGACTAAGAGGGAGCTTGAGTGGAGCCGTGGTAGGCAATGAGTCGAATTGACTCAGTCGAGACAACGATCGGTTGTTCCCGATCCTTGGATCCACCATTTGCAGCATCCAATAAGTCGGCCAAGACGGAGATAAGCCTTGCAACCGGTGGTGGTAGGAGAGTTGCTTATGCATGAAAGCAGACTAGAAAGTTTAGAATGTCGTGGAGGCGCCGCGATGGCGGACGAGAGAGAAGTGGAAGACGGAAGTTCGCCAGCGGCGGAAGATCGAAGAGACCCTTGGTTCCCTCCGCCAAGCCTGAGGCATCTAACCCAGACTGACTAATACGCTTTTGTTCCCTAACCGAGTTGGTTACTACGGGAGTACGGAGTCTGATTGTCACTCCTCATCCTCCATTGACAGATTTCAAAATAAGCAAAAGTTTGGAGTTCCCAGGCCCAGGGTGACATACTCGATGATCTATCGGAACTCCGAGTTGCTGGGTGGAGTCGTCATCCTGAATGCCCTTGATCCATTATTATTAACTCCGCCGAGGCTGAAGTTGGTAGAGAGGAGCCTTAAAAATAAGTCTCCGAAACCCCCCTCGCCCCGAGTCAGCCGCCACGATGCTTCTCCTCCACGCCTGACTCGTCCGATCTATCCTTTGGTACATACATCCCCAACTCCTGGCTCTCGTCTTGCCTTCAATTTGCTTCTCCAGGTCCCAATCCCTAGTTACCATCACTCACCATTGCTGACTACACCATCCACACGCACCTGGGGACCTTGGCAACAAACCAATGGTGTATGATTATGCCACCCGCACTGACCACCGCCGCTTGGACAGTTAGTGGATTTGATTTCTAAGCCCTCGTGAAGGTTGACTAACAGTCTTAGCGAGCAATTTCTAGGAGTCTCGAGGGATTAATCAGCCCTCCATCTACCTAATCTATTCAGCGTCATCAACATCCCCAATGACAAAAGGGTTTATCCGTCTGACAGAGAGCGATGAGTCAAAGCTCAGGTTTGGTTAAATCAATGAAAAGCAATCTCACTTGCCTAGATCGGTTGGAGCCTGGACGTCTCCAGGGCCCACTCGTCCCCGGTCGCTCATGCACGCGGATTACTCTCAGGCATCCATGCTGAACCGCTGATACTGCGCCGATTGGTCCTCGGTACTCCGTTCTTTGCTTCCTATGGCGCGTCGGGATATCAGAATGAGCTATCTTGTGATCATGGAGTTTGCCTTTATCGTACCGGTATATGACTGATACGTGGCACGATAAAAGTGATAGATCATTCTCACAGAATAGTACAGAGACAGCACTCTGGTTTTGGTCCTCCTGCTGTTAATTAATCTGGCGCGCTGGAGGGAAATTAGGGCTTCGGAAACACACCGCCGCCTCTGTCCAAAATGGCCCGTCGCCGATCTCGTTCTTCGGCCGCCTCGATGCCTGCAACCGGGCATCGGAGCTGGTCTTCTCACTGGTTCTTTAGAACTTGGGGTATATTAATGCTTCCGGAATGCTCTTTCGGGCTCGGCCTGTCTGACTTGTTTGCTCTTCTCCCTTTCGACGCAAATCCCGCTTAGAAGGGTACATGCTTCGCCGATGTACCTATATCCGACTTCGAAATATCGGTCTGACACACAGATGGCACGGAGTTTCATAACTGCGTCGAGTATACTTCTTGGCCAGAACACGCAATCGACTGTTGTATGTAGGTGACTGACGTTGTAAAAATAGATGGACTGCATTTGCACGAAGTTGGTCGGTGTGCGTTGCCTTTGCATATGGCTTTTTCTGGCAACTCCTCTGCTTGGTTAACTTCTTGTCGACCGGTAACATCTCCCATGATATGTCAAAGATTTCGCAATTGGGTCTTTGAGACACGAGCAGACGACAACACAGACGGTGCCCAAATAAAGCTAATCAGCTGTTCAAGAATGTAGAATGTAGCATGCATACGAGTTTGTCCTTTCTCTTTTTGTCTCTCAAATCAATCTCGCAGTATCATTCTACTATTAGAATATTGAGTCTATATATCTATGGCTGTATGCCCAATGTGCCATTTGGAAACCCTCCCTGTTCAATGACCTCGCCGTTCTACAAGCCTATCGGGTACATCTGTCTACAGAAATATAAGGGGAAATCTACCGTAGTCGGAAAAGCAAAACTCAATTTGTAGAGCCAATCACCAAGTCAAGTCCCATATTGTTCTGCGAGTCGTTCGAGAATTCAGGCAGCCGACCATCATATAACGTGTTTTGAATCATTATAACAGTTCCATGTTTTTCTCTTCACTCCCAATCAATAAAACGGCGGATCTCCCGGTCTATATATCATCTTGCATGTGAGTGTACATATTAGCGAGTCAGTAGTAGAATGATTTTACGATTCAGACCGTAAGTAGGATGAAGAGAGAAGAAGAAGACAAAACATGAACAAACAAAGAATATGCTTGCTTCAATGAGTCTGACAAACATCCACTATGATATGCTAGGTATGCTATGCCACGGCTATTTATATACATACAATACACATGGTACTATACAGCTCGGACTCGATAATCTACGAAGACTTTTTGTTTGCACTGGCCCTGGCAATGCGCTTCTGGATTTCCTCCTTCGTGAGGATTTTCACCGCGTTTCTAGAAAAGACGTAGCTCAGGCCGGACCAAACGGTGGTTCCCGCGACGAGGTACCTAGATTGGTTTGTCAGTCAAAATCTTCGGGATGCGAATGCAAAAAGAGGTGAAGGAATAAAGAATAAAAAAAAAGAGGAAGAGGAGCAAACAAAAACATACAACAGCCGGGATTCGCTGGTGGTCACCCACCCAACTACTAACCGGCCGGCGTGTGGCTTAAGTACGGCTGAGCGGACGGGAAGCCCTGTTCTCCACACCCTGTGGTCGTATGTACTGGGGATAAGAAAACAGTGGCCCATACCGCCCACCTGCTCATGTGCGGTTCTTGCTAAAGTGGCAGACCACGACAAAGGGGGGAGAAAGGGACATGGTGCATTATGGGACTGTACTTACTGGAATGCGGTCATTGCCTCCTTCAAGTGCCATGCATCGAGGAATGGCTCTGGAACCACAGGCATGGCGATGGCACTTCCGACGAGCAGAAGCTGCAGAGCCGTGTTGACCTTTGAGATTGCCGTGGGTTTCACCTCTGCAGATGGCAGAGAGAAATCCCAGTAGCGGGCCATAGTCTTGGGCGGCGGGAGAGAGATCCAGCGATAGTAAATAGCGGATATGGCAAGACCAATATCCCGGCCAAGTATGATGACAGCAAGCCAAACTAAGGGGTCTCCGTTAGCATAGCATAGGGATGGGTAGGTGGGCACAACGCACCGGGAATGGACCCATTGACCGCTAAACAAGCAACACCGATGGTCATGAGTAGCTTATCGGCCATCGGATCAATGATCGTGCCAACTACCGTTTGGAGATTATAGCGTCGCGCAATATAACCATCAACCAGGTCCGTAATTCCAGCATACGCAAAGAGTCCCAGCGCTGCTGCATGGTGGTCGTGCACCAGGAAGTAACCCACTAGAGGAGCAGCGACCAAGCGTGAGAAGGTGAGAACGTTGGGCACGGTGTAGATGTTTTCATGAGTAGTTGGCCGCGGTATCCGAGAAAGAATTGGCGACTTCTTGGAGTCGGATTTAGAGCTGAGCTATATCAGTTTGAATATCGAGATAACAACTCGCATATCGAGGAGAATTTCGCATGGTCTGTATATTCCATATAATGCGTATGTATGGGACAGTCGAAAGTAAGGGGGAAGAAAGAGTCTAAAGACCTACCCATCAGGAAGCGGTTGTTCCGATTCTTTCTTATCCTCCAACAGCGTCTTCTGCTGGTGGAATGCTTGTACCCATTGGGATGCCCCGGTACAGGTCAAGGACTTCATTGCCGATGGTCTGAAAACCGGTCAACATCGATCCGGCTTTGAAAAAGGAGAGATCCTACCGGTGCTGCAGGGAACGCGAGTGTCTGGCCAACGTAAATATCGAGGAATAGCAGGGCTCCTTTGACGGAACACCCTGCCAAACTGTCCGCGCGGCAGAGCCATGGGCAATGGGGATGGATCTGACCCCATTGAATAGACGGGGACCATATTGTCCGGATGCGCGGATAGGCGCAACAAGGAGCGAGCTTGCAGCCATGATGGATCTTCAAGGTCTGGGATAAAGTGGAATGAACGGACTGCTTGAGAGTGATGCTGATAGAAAAGGCGACAAGAGGTGGTGTGAGGTGTACTGTTTCATTCCATGGGCTGCTTGCAAGATGATAAGAAAGACAGTATAAACAGAGTGTCTGCTTTCCCAGGACCGGTAACCAAGATACTGATCGATTACGATTCAAGCTATCCTCAAGTGCCGTAGATGACCGATATAACCGAGGTGCCCAAATTCTCCGACTGGCGAGATATCCGATGCAACGGACTGTCGAGCGAGAAGCGACGCAGATATGAGATGAGTCAGGCAACTGCTTCCCACAGAGGAATGCAATTGCGCCCGACGAGTGGCCGAAGCGACGAGGACGGAATATGTAGAAGAGAAGATAAACCGACCAATCGAGACCCTGTGATTCGGGAGGGCGCTGTCGGAACATTGTTTCTCCGCTATAGTCACGTGTATGTCATCCCCGGTCACATGTGGCGCCGTGGTTGCCTGTTCTGTCAGGCCAGCCATGAATCGTACTCCCTTCTCCCAGGAATCGGCGTCTGGTGGCTGATTCTATCTCCGATCCAACTATAAATAAGCATAATGACCCCAGCCACACATGCGGAGGATGATGTATATTCCCATGGAATATCGTCGCAGGATCTAGACAGTTTCACTTTCATGCTATGCTTTCCCCACTTCACTAATGCGAATGATCGGGGCTATGACTACTAGCATCACACTCCCGGTCAGAAAACTACAACGAGGGTCTATCATCAGCCATCGAGAGAAGAGGAAACCCATGGACGTCGACAAATCAGAGGGCCGAGAGACAAACGCAGTAGACAAGCGCAGATGACATCTCCATTCACCAGGTCGGCGGCGCCTCCATTCATACTACTACTACCACCCTCATCTGACCCCTAGCGGCTCGTCTCACCTGATAAATGAAGAGCAGATGTCCCCCAATTGTTGTCGTCATCATAGAACTTCCTCCCATAAGTGATGGCTTCCCTGACACAATCTCACATTATGGAGCTCGTCAACCTTCTCGCTCTCGATTCAATATAGGATGCGGTGCTCGTCAACAGCGCCGCTATGGGAACGACGCCGGATGATAGTGACAGCACGGAGTCCTTACCTGCCCCTAAACGACTCACCATGGCCATGGTGACAATCGATCGCCCGACGGTTGCACCTCCGGTGAGGGTTCCCGCTCCACTGCCATCGGATCCTCCATCCTCCAGAAGATCGAGCACCTCGCCCGGCAACTCGGAGGTGATTGCAGACCCTAACCTCGCCAACCCTCGCCTTCTGACCAACCAAGCCTGTATCTATGAGCGTCGACTACCGGGCGATGCCTACATCACCGCCCATGTGCAGCGCCTGCAGCATGGCTTCTACTCCAGCTCCGCTGTTTCGGATCAGGACTCCGACCACGTTGACTTCCTCGGCATTAACTTCGTCTTCCACTCACCCAACACCATGACGCATCGCTTTAAAGCAGCGACTATTCGCGCTTCGGTCCAAAGCAACCGCGACAAACCCTCGTCGTCCTCCGCGCCTCCGACCAGACGACACTCCCGATGCTCCGGCCCCTCGCGAAGCCAGCGGACCCCCCAGCGCCCTCGAAATCCGCGCTTCCTCAAGCACGCGCCGCATCTCCTCTACGGCGCAATGTCGCCGGAAACCCTGCAATGGAACTACAGTCTCGCGGGGTCGATAGGGGTCGCCCAGCTGCCGCTGATGGCCAGCTTGTCGCCGTCCGGGGGCATGAACGGTCGATATCGACGGTACGAGATGATGCGCATCCAAGGATCGGTTCGATCGCTGAAGAGCCCGCGCGGACACAAATTTGACGTCGAGGCCGGCGAGATCGTCTGGACACTCGAGGAAAACAATCTACAACGGTCGGGCCTGCCGCGGGAGTTCACGTTCGCTATGTTGATCCAGAAACCGCGCGCCGACAGCCGCGTGCGGTTCGCCCTCGACATCGAGCCGGTGCTGCAATTCGGCTACTGGACCTATCCCAGCTGGTGGTTGGACATCCCCAAGTATCAGCCCGTGCCTCGACGGCCGCTCGACTTCCGAGTCCAAGTGGGCCAGCGGTTCGAGCCCATCACGTCCTCGAAGGGATTCAATTTTGCGACCCTGGAAAGCTCTTTCGACGACTACGTGCACATGCCTGGTCGGAAGGTTTCTTCTATGGTAAGTCAACCCCCCTCCACCCTCGAACAACACAGAGCAGGTCTCTAATGTCCCGCGAACAGATTGCCCCCGACGGAGGACCAGCCCAAGATGACAATGAGATTCGGCGCGACGTCACGCGAGATTTCAGCCTGGTAGAGCCGGTGCGAGGGCCTACTCGGCCCCCTCTCTCCGTCGATGCAGGCCAATTGCCCTTGGCCGCTGCATTTCCCAACAAGATCCCCGCAAACCAATCCTTCGTGCCGATGGTGCCAGGATTTGACCCAGGATCGATATCGATACGAGTTCTACTGGACAAGGAGAATGAGAACAGCGATACCGATAAAGAGAGCAATTAGCTATCTTGATATCAGGCAGACCAGAGAATCACCAACATCATCAGCAACAACACTTTTCCCCTTGATCCCTACATTCCCTCTACATGATACAGACATACGAATACCTATCTACCTAGATTGACCAGCCCTGACCTCACACACACCCATCCTCCACCCTTTACTTTTACTTCTTCTCACTTACACTGCTGTACTTTAGCCCCTATAGTTATGATTCTAATCACGATCCATTCACGATCATGACCATGCTCATGACCATGCTCAACATCAACATAGAAAAACAATCGCGTCCTGATTACGTGAGTACGGAGTAATACTGAGTTCGTAGATCTGAGATCACCGCAATGTGGACCCTCCGACCCCCATCCCCATCCCAAATTCCATCCGAGATCTCAGAAGAAACCGGGGAGATCGGACGGGATCCGGGCAACTCCACCTCCCGAATAAAAATGATCTGCAGACATCAACATCAACATAACATAACATCATTAACAGTGACATTCTGTGTACTATGTACTATTACTATGTACTGTACTTAATATGTAGTATGTATATAGGGGCACCTGAGGGATCTAGACTGCCTAGTCCTAACGTAAGTATATCTATCTACTTATCTATGACAATTATATCTACAAGTTCTTCTTTTCTGTGGGTAAGGTAAGGTAGTATTCATCACCAGTCGGGACCAGCTCCACCACAACCCCAACGGATGGTTCTACAAGTTACGGTGACATCTTCACAGATAGAAAGGTCATAGAAGGGTCAAACGAAGAAAATGTGAACTACACCGGTCGCATATACCATACCGAAGATTGAAACCCGATCGTGCAATTGATCATGTAGAACTAGCGAAACTACCAATACCAGCCAGTTAAAGACGAGACTGATACCTTGTCACCAGCTCCCTCGCTGAAAACAAGAGAATAGAAGCAAAACGCATAAAGCCAGAGCCGAAGAGAGTGGTAATAGAACGAATGAAATGAAGAGGGCCAGAGAGCAAAGCAAAGCAAGTAAAGCAAGGTCCACACACACACAAAACAAGGAACGATGAAAAAAGAAAAGGCCGACCATAAAACTCGCATCAAACCAAGGCCGATGGACCTAAACGACATCAACTTTCCTGATGGGTATCCCAGACCAAAGTCCACGGCTTTCCTCCCTTATTTAACAAACGTAGGATATGAAGTTTGCAGACTCGAAAGCAGAAAGCAGAACCAATAGCGACAACAATAAAAATAAATCAGATAGCCGCCCCAGACCGTGCCACCCAAACCGACCCATTGCTCATAATCACATTAAAGCGACACGCACGAAAGAAAAATCGTTCCCATAAGAAATAAAACCGGAATAGGATGGTGATGAAAAAGAAGTGAAAAAAAGGACGACTGCAGGGGTAGATGTTGGGGGGATCATCGTATCATCGTTGAGAACACAAAAGAAGGTCGTGTTGCAACAAACAGAGAAAGCCACCAACATCTCCTCTAAGAGCAAGATTGCATCGAATAATCATCCACAGAATGTATGTATAGTCTATTTCCCGTATTGCCGCCCTTTCGAAGATTGAAAACGTATGTGAGAAACGAAGCGAAGTAAACGAGCGAGTCAAATGGAACGAAAAGAGAGAGAAGAGACACAGATCAAAAAAAAAAAAAAAAAGAAAAGAAAAGAAAAGAAAAGAAAAAGGGTATTTTATACTTGTGGCTGAGCCGGAGCCGCCGTAGTCCAGGCAGAGACTGGATAAGGAGCATGAGCAGCCGGAGCAGTGGTGTTCATGTAATACTGACTCCGGTCACTCGCGCCGTAATAAGGATTGGGAATTGGGTTCGACTCCCGACGAGGGATGCTGGGGTCAAACGCGGCCATGCTGCGAGAGTCCACGGAAGGATGAGACGAGGCATCCAGTTGACCTGCCAGGCTGAAACTACCGCCGCGTGAATAAGTACCAGGAGTCGAAGGATCAATTGGCGAAGTTGCATCGGTTGCAACGCTTCGAGAAGAAATCGAGGATCGATAGGCCGATGGACTGTGATCCGACTGCGAGCGATTCCGGTCACTCAAAGAGCTCGACATGGTCGTATTGAGTGCTGAGGGGATCGATGAAGACAGTGGATTCTGACCGAGGGCATCAAATCCAGTGCTATATTGCGTTGGAGCCCGAAAGTGCGGGTAGTCGTCCGGCTTATGCGGAATCTGAGTAGGGGGCGTGGGCGTAGGGAGATACGAATTGGGGGCCTGTACTCCGGGGACTGATGCTACCATGGAATATCCAGTGATAGGTGCCGACTGTGGCGGATGCGTGGCAGTGTACGATGCCGGGTGCATGTAGAAATCCGGGTGAGGGTTTGGGATGCCGTATCCTGGAGGCGCCACCAGCTGAGGACGATAGCCATACAAAGCATGAGACGGATCGTTCGGGTTCTCCAGCGTTCCCGATTCCAGATCGTCGATAGGAGCCCGAAAGCTTTGCTTCTGAGTCAGCTCCATACGGGGTCGGATATAGCGTAGCTCAGGGCAGTTAGACGGCGGGTTCAAACTCGCTCGCATCACATCCTCCATACTGTAATATGAAACCAAATGATGCGTCACTCCCGAAACGGTCACGCTCATCGTCTTTTTCACCAAACCGGAGTCCTTGAAGCCGTATGAGTCTACCAGAGAGCCGACCAATGCGCGTTCCATGTCACCATGCTGCGTGCGTTCCCCATACGGGCCGGTCGACGGACCGGGAGAGTAGCCTTGCGCGCTACTCTCAGGTCGTGGATAGGGCTCTCCCGGTCTCGTTGGGCGTCGACTGGATTTCTTCATCGCGCGCTTCTTCTCGCCCGGCGGAAAGGGCTTTTCGAGCTCTCGGTAGACGAGGAAATTGCCCAGGATTCGACTAGGACTCCAGGTGACACCGTCCGTCCATCGCTTGATGCCCGACGAGTTTTCCTCGTAGATGAAGACGGTCCCGCTGCGAACCAGGCTGGCGCGTTCCCGATCATGAGGCCGACGGGGCACATGGTGCAAAACGCCGGTCAGACAAGCCTCGAACAAGACCAGCGCGTCGTGCGTGGTTGCAACATAGCCATAATACGTCGGCTCCAACGTCGTGGTGGTACCGTTGACCATCGTGGGCGGATAATTGTTTCTTTTGTTTGATTTGGAGGGGGGCTCGAACTTTAGTCGAAAGGGGTCAGAGAGGTAAAAGCAATCAGAGTTAACACCGTCGCTGATCAAGGTTTCCCAGCAACGCGGCTACTTAAGACACGCCACGCCGATTTCAAGGCCAGGGGAGAAATCCGCACGTGTGCAGGCAGACAAGAGGGGGATAAAGCAGAAACAAAGTAGTCGCAGCCGCCCAGAACGTGAGAACCAACAGAAGAAGAAAATCGCGAATGGGAAAATCAACTGGCAACGAGACGACTGCAAGGATTCAAGAAAATAAAGTAAGAGGCAGGGAGGGGGAGGCAAATAACCTCACAGGAAAGAGGGAGCCTCCCGAGGGTAGAGACGAGAGGATGACAGGTTGAGGAAAAGCTCACGGAGGGAGTGAACCAAAGGACAGGGTCGATGGTGGGAGTTTAAACCCAGTCTTGGGCGCCCGGATCGACAGGCAAGCACGGGCCCGTTCTTTCTCAAATCTTCGTTGAGGGACAGGTTTGGATCTGGAGAGAGAATCGCCTGGCCCTAGTCAAAAGTTGGGTCGACTGGAGCTCCGGTTCCACGGATAGCGATCGGATCGTATGGGTTATTGGGTTGACTAGACACCTCAACCAAAGGAAAGCTGCGGTAATTCCCAGGCTTTTTGAATCTTCCGCGACTGATGGAACCAGGTATGATAATGTCGGAAGAAAAAAAAAAAAGAAAAAGAAAAAGAAAAAGTAATAAAAAAAAAAGAAAAGAAAGCAAGACAAGAAGTCAATCAATCAGGTTCACGATCCAAGATGAACAAGATGGAGAGAGACAGAGAAAGAGAGACCAGCTCAGCTTACGATGAGCTGTTCGGTGCCTGTTTCGGAGGAGGAATGTAAGCCGATTTATCCACAACTGGGATTGACAACAGCCACCGGTGCCATACGAGGTGGGAAGAAAGACAGAGATCAAAGGAATGAAACACGATGGAGATGGAGATGGAGATGGGAATGGAAATGGAAAAGATATTAAACGTCAAACAGAAGGAGAAAGGGCCCAAGTAAAAAAAAAGATCAGGAAGAAAAATAAAAAAAAAAAAAAAAAAAGGAAAAGGAAAAAAAGGTGAATAATAATAATAAATTAGGAAGCTTCAACTCCTGCAGGGTTGCTTTCTGAAAAAGTAAGGTAGGTATTGTAATTTGTAAGCCCTGTTTTTTTATTTTTATTTTTCTCTTTAATTCTCTCTCTCTCTCTCTCTTTTTCCCTATGTTTTCTTTTTCGTCTTTTGTATTTTCTTTCTGCCCTTTCCTCCAAAATGATATGCTTCAAAGTGCACGAAATTCGTTTTGGGGGAGGAGGGTTGGAAAAATAAAATCCAAATAATAATAACAATAATAATAGTAAGCCCCTTTCCTGATGATGATCGAGGAGCAGATTGATTATTATTATTATTGTTATTATTTGAATAATGGATTTTTTCAAATTTCCCTCCAAGGGCAAAAAACGAAAGAGAGCGAGAGAGAGAGAAATAAAAACGAAAATAAAATGAAAAAAGAAAAGGCAGGTTCCAACTAGGCCAGAAGCCGGGCAGGGAGTGCGGGTGCAGGGACAGACAGCGACAGCCAGAGACAGAGGGAGAGACACGACCCAAGTCCCAAAGGCCAAAAGCCAGACCGTGAAGAGTGACCGGCGTGGGCGGGGCGACCCAGGCTGGCAGGCCCGAGCAGAGGGCCCGGCGGCAGAAAATGAGGATGGGATGGGATGGGTGGGTGCAACTAGTGATTCCAAGGAGCAGGGCAACGCCGGAAGTCGACGGTGGATCTCCAATCCATGAGGCCATCGCGGACCCATCATTTCTTTCTCATTCATGCATTCCACTGGAAAGCTGAAAATGGTCTGGAGGCAACATCGATTTTCGGATGATTTTAGGGGGACTTTTCTGTTCATCCTTTCTTGGATTTCCACCCCAGCAGGGTTGGATCATGGCCACTTGAACGAGTTGTCCAGTCTCGGGCCAAGGAAGAAAGTCCCAGAAAAAAGAAAGCAAATCACATCAAATCAAAATACAACGAATAAACTTCAAACTTTCGAACTTCATATAGAATAAGGCAATAGAAAACAGCTGGATGGACTTACCGACCTGTGGGGGGTGACAGAAGCAGGTACCCCGTTTCACTTTTTGCTGGGGGGGAAGTGGTTTTCTCGCTCTTCTGGCTTTAGGAATTGCTGGTAACTACCCAACCTTAAGTACCACAGTAATGACGTTCTCTATTTTGGCCTTTTCTTTCTGCGGTTCTGCTTCGATATTGTTTTTTCCCCTTATTCCTCTTCGCTGGAAGTTTCTTTGGAACTCTGTCAAAGATTGTTCAGAGAACACTGGAAGACGCTGACGAGTCAAAGGAATCCGACGTATGCAGTGGACTGAATCCAGAAAGGAGGGGGAAGAGGGGCAGGTTCATCAAGTCCAGCTTGGAGAGAGCAGGCGTGTCCCGGATCAGGGAAACTGACAGGGGAAACTAGTTGGAAGTAGAGATAGAGTAGAGATTGAGTTTCCAGAGGGGAAAAGAAGGAAAGGCAAGGTGGGCGCAGTGGAATCCTTTAAAGGGAGGAACAGGCGGGAGTCAGAAGCGGGGGAAGGGTGAGGACGAAGGGTAATGGTGACGGCGACAGCACACGACGACAGTAATGATGATGGGATTCTGATGAGGCCTCAGGAATGAACCGTCCCGGTCAGGTCTTTGTACGGAGTATAGTATACGCTATACGCCGTATATTAAATTGGTGAACTGAAGGCGAATACTGATTCTGGATATGGGATGGAACGGAGACGGACATTCTCTGACCCCCTACAACTCGTGGCAGCCGACGAGGACTATAGCAAACTAGCAGATCACTAATACCAGTATTCAGCGGTTTTACTAGTTGGATAGTGGACTCCTTAGTTGATCTGATCTCGAGACATTCCAGATAGCAACATCCGCATGGCGTTGATTTAGTGCAAGTATTCTCACCGTAGCTGTGTACTCCGGTGTACACGGAGTAGAATCGTCATCGGCCCTGCGCCATGGGTCTCCAGGGGGCGCATTCTATTGGCAGTTCCGTACAGAATAGGGCGGATGGGGATTTTTTTTTTTCTTTTTTTTTTTTTTTTGTTATTGGGGATCATTCAAAAAAGGGAACGGCGAAGGAGGGGGCTGTGTGTGGTCACTTTGAGTAGTTGGTGAACTGGCGAAATGTCCCTTTTTTGAGAACGGAGGGATGAAGGGAGGATTCCTAGCAGAAGAGAACCAAATAATCAAATTGGTTAATACTTAGTCTATCGAGTATACAGGGCAACACTTACTACTGAGATTTAACTCTCGACCTTACAGATGGAGAAGCATATCTCAGAAGCTCCAGAAACTATATCGCTGGATCTCATCAGCGGTGCTTCTTTCTTTCAACGTAGGCCCTAACTTTTAACTTCTAACATGTTCTCTCTCCAATTTAGCTCCATCAGTACCCCAGTCTTCCTAATCGGTAAAAATTGCTCCATCTTCACATTCACAGCGACCACCGTCAACACGATACCTCCTAGGTACATCCGAACCACAGCTCCGTGTCTACGCCACCGACCCGTACAGCGACCGTACTCCGTGCTACGGGACCCGCCTGGCGATTTCCAAAGGTCCCAACTCTCCAAGCCCAAGCGCCTCGTCTTTCTGTCTCTTTCTTCTTGATTTCCATTCCAACATGCTGGCCTCGGTCTTGAACTTGAACACCTTTTGGCCATGAACATGACTGATTATTGAGGGGTTGTCTGCAGGGGTGGAACCAGTCCAGAGGCCACCACCCAACCACGGCTCCGGCCCTGACGAAAGAATCTGGCGGCAAAAAAGATGATGTGCACACTTGTACCGGTCATCGAAGTCTCGGGCAGTCCCAGCACCCACTAATTTCTTAGTCCTTACACAGTAGTCCCAGGTTCCATCCCCTCTTCTCGCTATTATTATTATTATTATTACTATGACTACTACGGAGTACTATTATCTGTTGTTATTATTATTATTATTATTCATTCATTGATTCATCGACTCTCATTCTCCTTCTCATTCATGTCTCTATTGCCTCACCTTTCGTGTCTCTGGTCGATCAAATCATCATCCTTGGATAACCGAGACCTTGTCATTCGCTATACCAGTTCTTCGACCTAGTGGCTGGCGACCTACCATGTACGGTACCTACCTACCTACCTAGTAATAAATAATAATACAACAATATCCCTCAGACCTTGGTCCATGCGTTTTGCCATACCCTCTTTGGGTTTTGATATGACTGTTTAATTTTATTTTAATCTACGTCTATCCCGTGCGTAAAGGTATAGATTAATTGTCATTCATCAGCCGAGCCTTAACTAATAACTAGTTAACTAGAAGTTGCCATGACTCGATAGTAATACGGTCGCCTAGGCTGAATCCTCAGACCTCAGCCCTTTCCAACGCTACGGAGTGCTACTAGCGAGGACTGTTATTATTATGGCCATGGTTGTTATTGCATAGTGCAATGCGGGCCAAGGGGGGGAGGAGGAGGAGCGGATTGGTTCCAGAGAAAAGAGAGACAGTCCTACCTACTGTACGGAGTCCTACAAAGAGATGTAGATACTAGATACTAGGTCTCTAGAGACCTACTACGCCATCCACTTACAGCGTAACTAGTTAGTAAATCCAGTCCAATCGAATCCACTCCCCCCCTCGATATCGGGAATTCTTGGAGCGGGAACGAGAATGGGGTGGGCGACTTTCTACGTTAGTTAGCCGGTCCCAACTCCCAAGTGTGGTTGAACCAGTGTTTGGAAGCGTTGATTTCTCTGGTAGGATTTCAAGACCGGGACCCAGATCTGGCAAAAACGCGGTCCGAGCTCGATTGGGTCTCGTAGTTGTCATGTCATTGTCATGTCTGTCCACTTGCAGGCGGATTCAGAACGAGGCAAGATCAACAGAGATGGATGGATGGACAGAGGGGGTGTGTGAGAGAGAGAGAGAGACAGAGATCTGGGAATCTCACTCTTACAAACTGATATCAAGTTAGCATTTGAAGTACTGTACACAGCACTTAGTAGGTAACTAAGATAGCCAAGTCAATCAGTCAGTAGTCCGTCGTCATCATCGTCGTCATGACCATCTGACCTTAAACCTTTTCTCCCAGATCTCCGTACCTAAGAAACAGAAACGAGGATGATCAATGGCCTTCGTCAGCCTTCCAGAAACGCAGTACCTAAAGTCAGTACGGAGTCAACAACCGGTGACACCGCAAATGAGGGTCTGTGTCGACTGTACTGTAGATAGACTGATTCGATTCGATTTACATTTACGACCGACCGACCAGGTGCCCGACGGCACAGGGGGGACTGTGCGCCTGCGCAACTGCATTATTATTTCCTGGCTCGCCATGGTCGGGTTTCCCTTTTTCATTTTCATTTTTTCTTTCGTTCTCTTTTTTTTTTTTTTTCTTTTTCACCCCAACCCCCATTCCGCTGTCTTCCGTCCCGTTGATCGGAATGCCAATGTGGAAAAGGAATGTAATGTGATTGCGAAGCGGGAGGGGGAAAAAAAGAATGAATGCGTAGGAAAATATAATCAAAAAAAAAGGAAATTATTTCCCTCCCTCTTTCCCATCCACCATCCACACTGAAGGTATTGGTAAGGTAGGTTGTCGGAGTGTGCCGAGTTGGTTTCTCCTCCATTTCCCATTCTCAGTCCAGATATTTTTTTTTTTTTTTCATTTTTTTTATTTCTTCCTCGCTCGCCCTCCAGGCTCCTAGACTGAGAGTCTGAGACTCCCTCGCACACACGGGTGGACGGCCGACGGCGCAACAGTGGACGGTGGGTGGCCAGTGCGAAACAATTCTACCCGCACTCACGGAGGTCCGTGCAGAAAAGCCAGAACAAAAAAAAAAAAAAAAAAAAGAGCGATTCAGAAATCGAAAATCCAGATAAATCAAGTTCCATTCAAGGCAAGGTCGACACCAGAAAAGAAAAGAAAGAATAATGCGATTGAGAGAACCAGGAAAGTTTTTTCTTAGTGGGGGGGAATCGAGATGGGCACCCGGCGGGAAGTATATCTACTTTATACTATATCTTATAGTTATACTCCGTACCCCTAGGGGAGAGGGGGCTAAGATGGAGATAAGTTTGAAGTATAATTTATATATAGAATTTAAGATAAGGGAGAAGTTTAAATATATGGATAAGGAAGAGAGGTTTTTTTTGTTTCCCCGCAGATTCGATCGAAAAAAAGAAATGGTAAGAGGGCCTTACCATCTACTGTAGGTATGTACTAAATCTACACAGTAAGGTTTCTTAGGGCTGTTTTTTGTTTCTTCCTACAAAGTCCGCCAAAAATTAAATCTACTAACTAACTAACTAACGACGGAGTCAGAAAATCGAACTCTCACCGTGCAGGGGTGCCCATCTCTCCCGAGCTTATACAACTTTCGCCCAAACCTTCGCGGGAGATCCTCCGTAGATCCAGGCCATCTCCTGGGTAGTGGTTTTTGTGCTGGTTCCTCCGAATTGACTTCCTTCTTCCAATCTCCTCCGGTCGAGTGGCGAAAAATAAAAAAAAAAACTTCGCTCCAATCAAGGTTTTGGGGCCAAACGCGACAGGTCAGGTCAACCCGGGTCCGTTTTCCCTACGGGGGATAATTGTTCTTTTTTTCTTTCGACAGACAGACAGGTTATTGTGCATGTGACTGGGCTTTTTATTTATTTTTTTTTTCTTCGGTTCGATTTGTTTATTTTCGTGATTTTCATCATTTGGAAAAAAAAAGATAATAATAAAAAAATCCAACTACACTCCGTAATTATACTTTTTTCTACTCCGTAGTTTATTATACTATTCCTTCTTTTTTTTTTATGGCCCCCGTGAAGACCCTTCCGGTCCGATTGGCAGGTCCCGACAAAGTGGGCGAACAGTAGACGATCTCGAGTTGGCGCGTGCTTGTCGAAACTTAATTCCATAGCAAGAACTGTCCGGGTTGAGAAGGTTAACTTCTGTCAATCCGTCTAACGGCATCGAAGGATGATCCGGGGGACAGGAGATCTTACCTTACGGAGTAGATGACCCCCGGTGTCTAGGGAGACGCAGTCAAAACGGATCAAGGCAGTGAGAGCTTACGAGGGTGCCGGCGTATGTGAATAGTTCCGCCCTCCAATCTCATACTGTAGCCAGGGTACACGAATCACCCGGTAAACGAGAAGACGAGCCTATCAGGTGATATCATGTTCATAACACGCGGCACATCATGCAGAGCGATCCCAATCTGTCTTCCAAACGCCCGGGTCGCTCGACAGCCAAGCGACCTCGAATCTTCGTATCGGGCAATGTAGTACGGAGGTATACCGAGGGACAAGCTATAATCTATCTAACTTTCTTTTAGAACCTGATTTCTGCCGAATGGAATCGACGTAAGGCGTGGCCCGTCTATTGCATGCAGCTGCAAAAAACCAGGGTGGAAGAGCCTCTCGTTTATTGGTACTGCATACATATTACATACTCTGCTGGTCAAGTGAGAACGGCATATGCAATGTTGCGACAGGGATTAACCCTCGGACAAGGTTCTGCCACATAGGCAGGTCAAGGTCGATGATCTGCACTCGCGACAGAACTTTATGAGATCTGCAGGGGGCAGAAGAAGGAAAGGGCAGATTTGATGTTCGAGATTGATTTGGGTTTTGCGGAGAAGAAGTGCAGGGAAAGGGGGAGGGAGACTGACGATCTGAGGCACGGCCGGTGCTTGTCACAGGGAGCTGATACATGAGATTATTGCTTTCTCGCCACCGTTGATCTGAATCCTTCCGTACACGGTCCTCGAAGTCCGTAGTCCGTACGGTGGACGCATTGTACGGTGTCTGTTCCTCTTCCCCTCTACCCCCCTTCTCGTACGCCTCAACCTCGCAGTGGATTGCCCTATTCCGCTGACCACCGGACCGACTCACAGCCACCTAGGTAAGCGAAGCGTGACTCTTGGTCGGAACAC